AGGATTCGTGAGAAGCTCATCATCAGGGATGTTTCCCAGACCGTCGCCAATAGCCCATTGTGCAGCTCTAGTGCGACGTAAATTAACAACAACAACAATGACAAATAAGAAAGTTAAGCAAAACTAGAAAAACCACAGTAGCCCAGAGAGAAAAAGATGAAAAACAGAACAAGAAAAACCACACTGGCCGAGAGGAGCAAATCAAGGTAAAATACATTTCTACGCTCGATCGTGAGGTGATGAGGAACTAATGTTGTTAACACGGGAATCGGCATTCATACGTATAAAACAAGATTCAAGGGCATCAAGATGAGCTGATGTAACTGAGGTGGAAATAATTTTGGCATTATCGAAATTGAATTTAAATCCAAGATTTAAATAATGTGCAGCAATTGAAGATTTTATTTAATCCTTGATTAAAGATATATATCGAAAAAAAGATTGAATCTTGTTTTATTCATATCAATCCCGAATCCCTTGTTAACAACATTTGTCCTCATCATCTCTCGAATACGCTTGGAGATGCATTTTACCCTGATTAACCTCTCTGTTTTTCATCTTTTTCTCTCTCAGCTACTGTGGTTTTTCTCGTTTTGTTTCTCACCATTAGATTTCTATATTTAATCGGACACTTAACGTTTTATATTTCAAATCACTTTTGTTTCTTCTCATTTACGTCTGACTAGTCTTGAAAATTGGCGCTTGAAACATGTCCACTTTTTTTTCTTCCATTTTGTATATTTTTGAAGCGAGTCAAGTAATACTTTAGTCTAACTTTGTATGTATAGTGGCGCATTTTTTGAAAACTGAGTTCTAAAAATATGAAACATAGACATCCTGTGAAATTTTTGATTCATATACATTTCGGTACTATTCTATTTTGGTTCAGTGATTCTAATGATTCGATTCACTATTTGAATTTTTCGTTCCTCCCCTTCAAGTTAAAGGTCTGATATAAATACTGCAATCAAACCTTGCGAATCTCTAAAAATAGCGAAGATTTCGTCGGATACCATGTGACAAAAGAGAAGCTAGTATCAGTTCATGGTGAATTAATATTATGCAAACATGCATTACAGCAGTCGACACTATAAGTATATGGAAACGTTTGTAAATTAACCTGAATTTAAAACTGATTCATAGGTTTAACGAAATGAGTCAAATCTTGTGTAAATCAATCAAATATAGCTTTGCTGATCATTAAGATTATAATATATTGTGATGCATTTCAAAGATAACATTTTTAATTATTTGCAAATGAAACTTATATTGCAACATGGAAAAAATAGAAGAATCAGGAAGAACTAACTTGAGCTATTATTCAGAAAACAAATTAAATTTTTTTATTATAATATCAGGTTGATAAGGTTATAATTGGGTTTTTGATTTTACTGAGAATGATTTGTCGCTTTTTAAGCTCCTTAATCTCAAGAGTATTTTTTTTTAACTCAACCGATTAGTTTAGTTTTTTTTTCTATTTATTTCATAATTAGGATATTGATGATTATTTTTTTTTATATCTATTCCAAAATTTTTAAATGCGACTTTAATGCATATTTTTTGATCAATTCAATCACATTTTTAAAATGGCAGACATTTTTCCTGTGTTTGAATTTCTGCCTTAAGCAATCTCCAAAACGAAGTTTCCACCACACGTATATCTGTTACCACTAGAGCTCAAAAGCTGTTAATATGCAAATTACCTAGCTGCATCCGTTAAAGTGTGGAAGTGTTTTCCGCAATTTGCCAAAGTAATGCGTGCATAAACGGTCACAGTATCGTTCAAGTTCAAAAGTTAATTTCTCTCATTCTATCTACTAATTTGTTGATGGTTTGGTTGTATTTATTTTAATTGATTCTTTAGACACCGAAAAGTAAATAAATCCCATGTTAAGTTCTTCAATTATAAGTTAAAATAATATTTTAAATCGTTTGACTCTTTATACAGGGTGCGTAGTCAAATTATTCAACAAAAAATAAGTACTTTTCAAGCACTCAAAAAATATTTTTAAGCACTTTAAAAAAATATCATAATTAGACAGGGTTGGAAAGTTTTTGACAACCGACGGTTTTATCTTGTTTTAACCGTCATGTCAAAAAAAATTTGGCATTGTTTTTGACAATTGTCAAAAATCATGAAATTTTGAATCGTGTAAAACGAATGGCGTTTTCATACGCTACGGACTGACTATACTCCGAAATACAATGACACTTTTTAAAAACACCCAATGAAAAAAGCACTTTTAAGGGCTTTTAAAAATCGAAAATAAGCACCTTTAAGCACTTTTTAAAAACGCTACGCCCCCTGTTTATATCATATTTTTTAAAGTGGTTGATTCTATCAATGTGTTGATTATTGTTACCTGATCTTTAAGATAAACGAAAATTAAATAAATAACATTGAATGTTAATTTAGACGTAGAGAAACGTTGCTGTTGTTACAACTAAAACATTATTTTCATTTTAACGATTGCCTAGTGGATAATGTGCAGATTACCCAGGGTAACTTGAGAAATAAAGCAAATTTTCGGCACTTCAACGGATTGATAACTTGATTTTTAAAATAAGCGAAAATTAAATAAATAACATTGAATGTTAAGTTAGGCGTAGAGAAACGTTGCTGTTGTTACAACAAAATTTTTTTTTCATTTTAACGAGTGCCTAGTGGATAATGTGCGGATTACCCAAGGTAACTTGAGAAATAAAGCAAATTTTCGGCACTTCAACGGATTGATGACTTGATTTTTAAAATAAGCGAAAATTAAATAAATAACATTGAATGTTAATTTAGGCGTAGAGAAACGTTGCTGTTGTTACAAAAAAAATTTTTTTTCATTTTAACGAGTGCCTAGTGGGTAATGTGCGGATTACCCTGGGTAACTTGAGAAATTAAACAAATTTTCGGCACTTCAACGAATCGCTCTAGCTAAGTTGCACATTAACTAGATAATCTGTAGAATACAACTGATTTCTACACTTTAACGGTAACATATTCATTAAAAGACATGTAAACTCTTCAAGTCAAGAAAGGATTCTAAAAGCATGTATTCACCATTTCCTTTGAGATTATTAGCTATGTGATTTCTCGCCTCTTCTATGCTCTCATCACTTGTGACATCTAGAGAGATAATTTCAACTTTGGAAGAGCAAGTTTCAACTAATTCAAGTGCACCTTTCCCTTTTGAATCCAGGCAACCAGCGAAGACTTTGTAACCAAGCTGATCCAAACGCTTAGTCAATTCTTTTCCGAATCCTGAATCACAGCCTGCAATATAAAAAATTAAAAAAACCTTGTTGAAATCGTCATAGTTAGATAAAATTTATTTATTTAAATCATGTAAAATATTGTTTACTGAGTTGTTTTATTATCTGATGGGATTAACGACACTATGTCGACATCAACACTTTTATTTTAAGTATACACGGAATTATTATTGAAGTAAATACGGTCAATTATTATTAACATAGACGTAATACATGTTCTAACAAAATTATTTTATTTTATATCCGTCTTTGAGCATCCGACACAATTTTGACTTTACGACTACTAATGCTCAACTTTGTAATTTTGAACCCAATCCAGAAGACAAGAGAACTCCTGTATCAAGTATTGGGAGAAATTTGCCGTTGTGAAGAACTTTTTGATGGAACTAACCCGCACTTACATTACATGGAGGGAAAACCACGAAAACTTTCCACGATTAGCCTGATGACAAGGGAACTCTAACCCATGATACGTCTATCTTTGAGGATATCTTATGTCACTACCGTGGTCAGTGCGAGCCGAGTGCCGAATTCGAACCCGGGTCACCTCGTTGGGAGACTAGCGCTCTACCTCTTGAGCCACCACGGCTGTGTCAAAATTATTAAAAGTTATTGACAAGTATCCTTCAGCATATTTTCAATTGATATAATAAACTTTTATCTCCCTACATAAAAAAAAAAATCGAAAGTGCCGGCAAAGTTTTGAGTGCTGAACTTTACGTTATGTTATGTTACATTTTGTAATGCAATGTTACCATTTTGTGACAAAATGTAAAAGAATTACCACGGAATAATAAAATTTCAGCATTCTACTCATATAAGTAGTTCGAGAATCATTAGCTATTAAGCTTGTAGTAAAAAATACCGTTTGGGTTTAGCTATTAAGCTTGTAGTAAAAGTACCGTAGAATTCCATTGCATTTGCATCAATATTTATTTGTTGTTGTAGAAAAAAATTATCTCTCTCGAGATCTTTATTTTATAAGCGCTCACTTTATTAGACAAAGGTAACAAAAGAAATATGAATATAAAAGTAAGATTGAAAGATGTTGCGAAATATAATTCTTAACATTTGTATCGAAGTTTTTTAAAAACAGATTTGAGTTTGTGAGTTTTGTTATCAATGTCAAGATTTAAAAAACTGTTTTTAATTTAAATTGTCATATAATATAAACAACCGTTATTTAGTGTAAACAAGTAAAATTACTTCACTTCTCATTTATTACTTCTTATTGTGTCACACATTCTATGCGATTAGAAAGATCATCCTTGATACTTTTAGAAATATGACTTTTTTACTCCTGCAAAATTTCCATCGAACAAAATAAGCTCAGAAAATTGAAAGTTTTTTTCCTTTTTTTATACCATCATAATTTTAAAAGCATTATATAAATATCGCAGTTCAATAAAAAAAATTCAAAATTTCAGGTAATCAAAGCAAGAAATAAGTTATAAACTTCCCTGGCAACATTTAATGTCTCTCTCGCTCATTTTATTTTTTATTTTATTTATTAAATGTTTTTTTGATATACGAAACCATCATAAAACAAGATACAATAAAAGGACTAATAAATGATGATAATTTTAAAACATTTAACAATTAAAACTATTTTTTTTTTTTTTTTGTGCTGGACTTCAGAAACATCTTAAAAAATTAGGGGAGCAATTTTACCTCCGAATATAACAAGTCACTGATTACCAGCTCAGTTATTTTTAAACATTAGTTATGATGTATTCCTTTCATTTTCAAAGCCTTCTAAGAATTATAATAATAGCTATAATAAGAATTATAATAACAGCTACGACTCTCATACGTTAATTCATAAAATTATTGCCTTTAAATGAAAAGTAAATATTTGTAAAATATCATATGTTCGAATTACTTATTTTTCATGAAAGTATCTTAAATACATGTATAACTATTTGCCAAGAATTTTTTTTATTATTATTTATGAATTAATACGTAAAAATTTTTTTAAAGGAATAATATTAGATAATAAATAAGAAGAAACGTAAATAAGATTGCATAATGTACTTATTTTAAGAATTGGACTCTTCAGGACTTGGACTTACAAATATTTTAACATTTTACGAACTTTTCATGAAGAAATTATTTGATTTTTTTGAACTTATTATTAATTATGAAGCATTTAGCATTGAAAAAGTTAATTAAATTAAAAATTGTTACTTAGATTCTTAACTTTTTTATTTTTATTGTATAATTTTGGAATGTTCTGGACATTATATTGAGTTAAAAAAAAATTTATTCAACCGCGTGACGGGAAGTTTTAGCCAATATGCTAGCCCATTGGCCAGATCTTTCTTCAAAAGGAATGGGGAAATATAATACAATGTTAAATGAATGATATATGAAACCTATTCCATAAATAGAAATCTTCTTGAAAAAAATCTTGCGCCCCCCCAAAAATTTCCTTCACGGTGCGCCCATGTTCAAAGACAAAAATAGAACTACGGAAAAAGGTAAGACGATGTCTGTTTAAAACACAGGCAATTGATTTAAATATGATGAATAATGAATAAAATATCCGAGTCGGGATTTTTCGCTTGATTGATAAGTATTATTACTTAGTCACGCTTGAAAAAGGTTTAACAAAAAGAAAAAAACGAGTCTGAGGTGGAGGTTATAATGAGAAAAAAAGGTCTTTGGCCAATTAGGGAAAGTGAAACGGGGCTAATGTGAAATAAAACTTGTTTTCTTAACTTAGTTGTGTGATGTTTGTAGATGGTATTTGTAGAAACAAAATTAGTGGTATAGTATGGAAGTAAATAATGCCGCGGAAGTTTACGAACATAGCGGATTTTTTATTTTATTTTTTTTAATTCACTCTATCTTGTTACAATCATTCAAAAATTATTTGTTGTGGATTGTACTGTAACTGGATAAAATTACGTAAAAGGAATTATGCGAAGAATGTTAGTTGTTGAACAACAGTTAAAAGTTGTATTGAATGTGAAGTTTAATAGAGTCAAAAAGTAGTATTAAGTTTTAATAGGACGGTTATTTGATAACATGCTTTACAAATGGCAGCAGTAGATAAACTTTAATAATGATTGTGAAATTTTTATAAAAATCAAATAAGCGTTTTCATGCCTTTTCAAAAAATTAATTTACAAAATCAAGCTATTATTTTGACAAAAAAAAAAAAATGGTTTAAATAATACCTACTTTAACAATTTTTTTTTTTTGCATATTTATCCATCTTTAAAGCAATTCTCATCTATTTGTTACAAAAGTATTTCATAAAAATTCGCTTTCTTACACATGAAATATGGGGTTGTTCAAAAAATGCAATATACGCAACGAAAAAAATGATTAAGTCGGCTAATAACTTATGAAAAAATAATCGTTATAAAACAATTCTTATCTTGTTAACAATATACCAGCTTCAAGATTTCAAATGATAATTTGTTAAATGAAATTAATCTCGCTGCTCGAACAATATTCCATCAACACTAAAGTATGATAATGCGTGTGGCTTGCAATAAGAACTAACAGTAATAACCAAGTAAAAAGGTGCCAAATCAGGACTGCAAAAAAGCGAGTTTTTTCTAAATCTAGCAACCATGTCACCTTCTTTAACCATACATCAATAAATAACTAAAATAATTTTCACTTCAAATCCACCAGAACTACTTAATGTCATTAATATCTTGTGAAATAAAGCAGATTTGAGATCAGAAATTATACTATTTATTTATTAAAAACAAAATTATCTGTTTGAAAATATCACCTCGCAGAATAAGCAGCTTTATACGTTCTAACCGGAAGTAGAGCAGTTCAAGAGCTCGAGATTGTTGCCATCCATTCAGTTTTGCTATTTAAGTACAGACCGGTTGCACAAAACTGTAGCAATACAACTACTCAATTCTCATTCACTAGTATATAAAACATGTTAACTCGATTATGTCTTGAGGTACCCTTTGATAGATAACGTTTTAGCGTTGGTATTGTACTAACTCTATACTATTTTATTTTAAAAAAACATCTACTACTTAATCTGCCAAAAGAGTATCGCTTTTCCCCTTTCAAATCGGACATGCCCTTACACTCAAGCGGATACTATTCTCTCTTTCATTTCAATATACAGGGTTATTCATAATTCCCTCCGGGATTTCGAAATGTTATAGTAAAAAAACGAAAACGAATATAGCAAAAAAGAACATTATTCCGAAAGTATTCAAGTTTTAATTTAAGCAGTTGCCGGTAGATGGCAGTAACATGTACCACTGAAGGCAGTTGTAAAAAAAAATGGCGTTTACAGGCGGAGGGAATTATGAATAACCCTGTATATTTTTCGTTATTGTTTTTGGTGTATCAAGTTCAAATGTTGATTCACACACAGCGAACCACAATGCAGGATAGATGGGATTGTATGTTGGAATTTTAAATGCGGCAGTGTCCGACATTTTCTTAGTTCTTACGGGCAAAGTGTGTAGAAAACTTACTTCCGTGTTCTGCAAATCGAAACCAGCGACGCATGCCAACGATTGAATGCAGTTTGAACTCAGAGGTTGCAATGTATTTCAAAAATAAGAGTCACCATTTGTAGAAGATGATTTGAGGTTGCGAAGAAGAAAGATGAATAAAAGTAGACCAGTTAAACCAATTTAAAAATATTTATTAAAACAATAACGAAAAATATATATTTTGAAAGGACAGAGAGATTAGCATCTTTGAGCCGATAGCCAAGAATTCGAAATTAAAAGTAAGTGAATTGTTCCAAACGGACAGTTAGGAGCATGGGAAGAGATCCAAGGTTGGTGATTTATTGGAAGATAATAAAGCCAGCCCCCCCCGTAATTAATATCAAATTTGAAAATAATTTGGCGATAGCGAATCCCCAAAAAGTCTGAGAATTAGTATAACCATGTAAATTAAACATTTTTGTGGTAAGAAATAAGGAGTTATAAATAGATTTTGTTTTAAATTTAGTCGCGACAGTGAATAAATGAGTTTTACATTTGTATTGAAATAAGAAGTTAGCCGTTACATTGATTGTTAAGAAAATAATAGAATATTTATATTAGCTTTCTATACAATATATTTGGGGAAAAAAAGTTAAATTTTTAAAACTTTGTAAAACAATAAAAAGGACCAACCGCTTTTTAAAATTCTTAGTAAATTTTTAAATTGATGACTTCTTCTTTAAAAATATCATTCGATTTAAATCAATGTCACCATGCTTCATAGTGTATGAAATTATCGATAATTTGGCTTATCCACTATTCCACTAAATTCATTCAATAACATGCTTTATTTTATTTGCAACAGTTAAATTTCTTGACAAATTTTGCTTCATAATAAGTTTTTTTTTCTGTTAACGCTGAGACTTAAATTATATTTTATAAAATTTAATTGCAAATATTTTTATGACCTTCAAAATGAATAAGCATAAATTGCGCAAACGTGCTTATTTTATGAAATTTCTTAAATGGATATGCAATCATAAAGTTAAAAAAGAAAAAGAAGTACTTTACCTGTAATGAAAACGGCTTTGTTATTGGCCGATACCTTTCCGTCTAAGAGTTTTTTCTCTAAAAATTTGGCTACCAAACTAGATGCAAATAGTGCAGCAGAAACAACTAATAATTTTTCTAGAATAATACAAAAAGAGGGCACTAAGTTAGAAAAAAACCAAAATGCAGCAAATGACAGCATGAACAAAAAGAGGTTGCTGTAATGATTCATTTCTTATGAGAATTTTTAAAAAAAAATCTAAACAGATGCTTTCGCAACTGTGTAACTGACACAGATGCGTCCGTGTCAATTATTTCATGGATAGTAAAGTATGAAGAACCCCTACATTTCTACGCCAACAACGTTGAAGGAAATAGGTTCCCGTATTTAAATTTTAAAAATATTTCCTTATAGGAAAATAGTTTTCTTATCCTTTCGCTTTGGATAATGAGATTTAAGTTAAATACCAAATCTCTTCATTCTCTATTATCTGAAGCTTTCTTTAATTTCTTCAGCAGTCTTTTCAACTCTTTTTAATAATATTTTTTTTTTATTAAATATTATTATTTTTATCACAACGAGCAAGCGTTACTCATTGTTTCTTTGTATAAGCCATACTTAATTAAAAAAGAAAGAATTTTTACATAGAAGTTTTTTTTACCGCTATCTAGCATAGAAATATTTTATTGTTAATAAACGAAATAATTCATATTTTTAAAATAAATGAGTTAAAATCTTTAAAATTTTGCACAAATTAATGTGTGACTTAAGAATTATTTTGAGGTGCCTTACCTTATTTATTTATTATTTTTGGAGATTTCAAAATCACGCAATCTTTTCGAGAAAATTATTTTGTAACTAGCGTATTTTCGAAATAAATTGATTTTAACTTTCAGTTAAACTTTTGGCGAATTTAGGGGGATCCAGATATTTTTCCTGGGGGTGATCATAGACTCATATTCCCCCCCCCACAACTAATTTTTTTTATAAAAAAAATTTCGTTTAAATATTTTTTTGAAGGAAAAAAAAAACTAGGGTTTTTAATGCTAGTCTTCTCATTTATTTTTTTCATAATGAACAATAGAACAATACTGTGACATTAGGTCACAGCCTANATTTATTTTTTTCATAATGAACAATAGAACAATACATAAATTCAAGTATTCAAAATCTTTAAATAATAAATGTAATGAGTTTTTTAGAAACTTTGGCAAATCAATTTCTCGATGAATGTTTAATAGTGCGAGTCCATTTAATCGTTCTTAATTCTGAGTTGCTCTAAGCCAACTTTTGAGACTTGGTTATTTCTTTTATATTATTTCTTTTCCTTTTATTATTTCTTTTCTTTTTATTATTTCTTTTCTTAGACGTTATTTCTTCAGTAAACTATTAAAAAAAATTATTACTTAAATTTTTTTTTCAATTTTGGGTGGGGGGTCATGACCCCCCGCTGGATCCGTTACTGGTTATAGCCAATCACATCACAAGTATCCCGCTGTAGTGAACACGGCTTATAGTGAACTCCTGGATATAGTGAACAAAATGCTCGGTCCCGTGCCTTGCTATACACGTATAATGTTATTTTTAGTGGATGTAGTGAACCAAAAAAGTGAAGAAGTTGGATATAATGAACTTTTTTCTGTCTTGGACTGATTTCCAACCCATTTTCTTTGTAATAATTTTGAAATTTCTACTTCAAAATAAACCATCTATAGAAACTACTTTTATGTGCTCGAATGGCAGGTTAGACAGGTTTAAACAGCGGAATGACAGAAATTCAAGAAAAATTTTCTGAGAGTCGGGAAGTGTTTCCATATTTGATGTTGAGGATTGCTCATCAGCTAACGATTACTAATTTTTATTTGTACGCAAGACGAANCTGATTTCCAACCCATTTTCTTTGTAATAATTTTGAAATTTCTACTTCAAAATAAATACATATACCGATTTTTAAAACCATCTATAGAAACTACTTTTATGTGCTCGAAGGGCAGGTTAGACAGGTTTAAAAAGCGGAATAACTGAAATTCAAGAAAAATTTTCCGATATTCGGGAAGTGTAATATTGATTTCCGGAATATTGATCGGGAAGTGTAATATTGTGTCCATCTAATATTGATATATGAAATAAAACATTAAAACTTGTAAATTTAATCTCTCAAGAGAAGAGAGATGGTTCAATCCAACAAAACCAATATTATAAAAATAAATTTGTTAAAATTTATTTTCAATTTATAAACAATTGTTTATAATAAATTAAGTATTTCCTACCATCAATTTTCAAAAGTCATATTTCAGTGCTCGGGTTTTTATGCATGCAGCTGCTATCAATCAAATGAAAGGCAAAAGCAATATGTATTACAATCAAATTTCATATAAACATATTACTAATGAAAGGAACTTCACTTTTACATTCTAATTTAATGAAAATCATTACAATTAATGAAATTGCAGATATGTAATTCATCATCTTTTTATTGTTCTTAACTCGAATACCTTTCTTTTAACGAACTAAAACCACTGAATCCCCTGTTTGGGATTATGAACTTAGATACTGATGCATCATACTGGTAATAAATGAAAGGTGTATAACTGAATCATTTTAAAATTGAAAGAAACAAAGATGTAAGCAACCTTTTTTATTTGAAATTGAATTATTAGGATAGAAAAATAAGATAATGGCAGAAGAAATCGCGAAATTAAAATAGAACTTAACTGGCAAAACTGAAAGAAAACAGTTTAAATTGTTTGAATAATGAAATTGAATAACTAATTCTTACTGGAAAAAAAAAATTTCGGAAAAAATTGAAAAAAAGCATTATCTTATGAAAAACAAAACTTTCTTCTAGAATTAAGAAAATGAATTCGAATTCTATCCTAAGTTGATACAGTTTAACAAAATATTCTATTAAATATTTTTGATATTTCTGAATGTGTTCAAACGTAAATTTGTCCCGCAGTGGACTGATCGTTAAGACACCGTTCCCAGCAGATCACCGAAGTCAAACATCACTGGCTGCGGTCAGTACTCGAATGGATGACCACTTGGATCAGTCTGTTTAGGGACCGACGGTGTGCGGTATTGGTCCTCGTTAAACTGTTCTACCGTAAAGTGCTCGACTTCGCGTGCAGGTCGTCAGGCTACCGAAGCGGGGGTATCATCCCCTCTGCAGAGGATCAAAATTGTAATGGCATGTTTTCTGATCATCCTGAGGGATGCTTCCCAAACAGGCGCCAATAGACCAAAGTGCAGCTCTAGTGCGACGTGAATGAGCTACAACTACAACAACCAAACGTAAATTTACCTAAGTTGCACAAGAATAAATATTCCGGAAATCATTGTGAATGGTTAGACTTTTATAATTTGTTTGAGAGCTCGATTCATAATTATGTGAAACTTAACGTTTAGTAAATTTATGTATTTAATATCATACTTATGTGGGAATATACGCATTTTAGCAGCTGCAATGCTATATGATAGCCAAAATGAAACCGTTACTTTCATAAAAATAATTCTCAATATTTTTAGTGTAAAATTTTGGTGAATAGAGGGGATATTGAATGGGACGTATTTCTTTCTTTTCTTTTTTAAAGTGAGTTTTATTTAAGGTGCTTATTTTTTAATGAAAAATGTGTTATTTTTTATTTAAAAATTTTTTTGTTGCAGAAGAAGCTGAGACGGTTTCGACCATCATGAATGTTTTCTCGATATTTTAAAATTCAATATTTAGATACTCTAATTGAGGAAAAGAGAAAAAATTTTATTTTATAGGTTTTTTATATAAGAAATTTTTTTTTAAATGAAGATATGTTATTTTATTTCTCAACTAAATTTTCTTTTTTTTTATAGAAAGTACTGAAACGATTCTTAGCATGAAATATTTTCTCCCTGTTTTAACACTTCAGATTAGATTATATATGTATATATATTCAGATATCTAAACTCAGCGGCGCGACAGCCCTAGAGGTCCAATACCTACTGTGCCCATCTCAGTTTCCTTGGCCTGGGCTCTGGGGTGCAGATATCTATCTATATATATATATATGTGTGTGTTGGTAAAAAGAAAAACAACGAAGAAAATTAAAAAGTTTTATTTACTGCGCATAAGCTGCAAGTATATAGAACTCATAAAATAAGTTCAAAAGGTAGAGAGAACATGGAAAAAATTACAGAATAAAGAAAAAAGAAGAAAATTATTAAAATAAAATAAAAATTGATTTATACGATAAAAGAAATAAATTTAATTTTAAAATAAATTAACTATTTACTTGGAATTCTAATGTGTATAAAAACATCTATTTAAATACCATTTTTGATCAAATGCATAAAATTAAAAAAATGTGTAGTAAATATTTATTTATCCAAAAAAGAAATAGACAACCTCTTTCAAAATTTGATAAAAAGCAGTGGATACCCAACTGAAGTAATTAAATTCTATTTACAATCATTGAGTTAATTGTATGTTATTAGTAATAAAATTTACTAAAAACTTCTTTGTTAATTTATATTTTTACTATATGCAAATCCATTTCGGGCAAATCCATGGCTAAAAATCAGACAAATCAAGTTTCTCCCTCGCTCTCTTTTTTTAAATTAATGTTAATTTTCTAAAATCATTAAAATTGTATAATATTATCTTGCACACATCCATTTTATATATATATATATATGTAGCATCATCTATATATATATATATTGCTATATTCCCCAGCATTATATATATAATGCTGGGGAGAAATAATTAAGAAAGAAAGAATAGATACTCTGTGTGTTCATAAAAAAGTTAAGAATTTTTTTAAAAAAAATTTATTTAGTTTCAGTATTAAAGTTTTAATTTGATTTTTTAAAAACTTTTTAAAAGAAGGAAAGACAGTACTTAAATGTACAGTATTAAATTTAAACCCACATGCTTTTCTTTAATCCATTGTTTAGTTAAAAAATAATAATAAAAGGTTATATTGTTAGTAAATTTATCTTTTAATTTTAAAGCACGACTATCAGAATATCTATTTTATATACATGCGGTATTCGACGAGATTTGCCGATTACTAAATAATTTGTGAAATGATTTGTGAATGAAAAATTGTGTTCTTTTCTTACCTGCAAATAATTTTTTTCTTCCTTTGTTTTATATTTATTTATCATAAGGTTCAAAACTTATTGACTAGAATAAAAGTAAAGCATTCTAGCGACAGCCCTTTGTGTGTCCGAGAGTTCATGGAGCTTGAAGATACACAATGTGGCAATTGCTGATTTTTGGCAATGTGTTCAGCATTGCGCACTAGCAGACTTTACTTTTCAGACAAACTGATAGACATCGATCTTAAGCTGTGTTAGCTTTAAAGCGCCACTGGGGATCGAACCCCGGTTATTCACAACAGTTCACTGCCTTACCCAGTGACCAATAGCAACTCATGACTAGAATAATTAATAATAAAGTCGTTTAATCAATAATATATTCCTAGAAAAAATTAAATATTAGCTACAAATGTGAAATATTGAAATGTGAAAATATTAGCTACAAAATAAATTATTGAAGCTAATGAATCACATACTTACAAATGATTCGGTCAAATTTGCAATATCATTCAGAAAAACGGAAATTTAACCCCACCCAAAAGTATAACTTGCAGCGCCCCTGGTGGCCATACTGTGACGTGCACAGACACGTTTTTGTTGTAATAAAAAGAGTTATCAATTATATCTGACAAAGAAAAGGGGGGGATATAAAATGAAAGATCACTAGGGGTCATGGGACCTGCATTTACCTTTAAAAGGTAAGCCCCTTGTGGAAAAAGAAAGATAGAAAATGAACATAGAAAAAGAGAGGTAAAATTCATTAAAGCACCTCAGTACTCATGGAATGATATTTAGTTAACAATAAAATCTTAAGAGGGATAATCTCAATTTGTTGTATATTACAATTGCAGCACTTCTTAACAGAGAATACAAAAAGTTTTCCTTTCTTTTCAAGTTTTATAATTAAAAATAATAATTTAGTAATTTTGATAATTTAATCAGAATTGAAGACAATACTTCAATATGGTAAAGAAGATAAAATAATTTAAGTTATCATTTAAATTTAATTAAAAGGTTATCAATTTAAAAATTATGTTAGTAATTCTAACTTTACTTAAGTATGTCAAATTAGTCTTCTTCATAAACTTTATTTTCTAAAAAAAGGAAACTATAATGTATTATAATATATTTATTATAAATATTTTTTATCATATACAAAACAATTACGTTAACAACGATATTCAATATAATAATTACATTTAAATACACCATAAAAATTAAAACTTTATTCTAAACAAAAATATAATTAAAAATTTGCAGAAAAAAGATAATTTATTAATAAAATCGATCAAATACACTTAAAATATAATACTGACTATGGTTAATATGAATAAATTGCTTTGATTCAGTAATATGCTCAGTTTAATAAAACAATAAGTTTATATTTGTCAGAATAATTTAAAACAATATAAAATTAATTCTAAATATTTATAAATATTGAAAAAAGAAAACAAAACATTTTAACTATATTCTAACAATATACATTCCTATATCTTACTTTCTTGTCCATTTCATTCATAACAACCAGGGCCGGATTAACCTATAGGCACACTAGGCATGTGCCTTGGGCCTATTAAAAACTTGGGAGAAAAAAATTTGTTGATAAAAATAATTTAGCTTTAAAAACAACAAGTGTATTTGGCACAAAATTATGAAGAAACAAATAAAAATATAATATTTTTCAGCAATAAATTATTTTGCAGAATCTTATGATCTAAATATATTACTTTTTTGCGATTTTTGGATTCAACGAAATCTTGATTATGCTGTCGAATTTTATAAAAATGTCGAATATTAATAAAATGTCAAATATTAATAATATGTCGAATATTAATAAAAATGTAAATAAAAAAAATATGCAAGAAAATTTTAGCATATATTTTGAAAAGAGGGGAGGAGTGGGGGAAGGAGGGCAGGGCCCAAAAACAGCTATGCCTAGGGTCTACGAAAGGTATAATGCGGCTCTGATAACAACCTAACATGTATGTATGTAGTATATATATACACACCACACTGACGGAAAAAAATTTCAACACTAAGAAGGAGTTGTGCTGGATAAACTTAATTTGGTAGGTTGTTTCAACTAAAAGATGTCTATTCAAATTTCGAGCTAGTAGCGCCACTGTAAACATGCAAATCAAAGTTGCTTTAAATACGTGTTCTACAGTTTATTACCGTTATTTTATGTTAAATTTTGACATCGTGAGTTGCTGTTAGTCAAGAATGTCTTTAAGAAGACGAAGAAGCCATTATCAACAGCTCACTGACTTTGAATGTGCTTGTGTAATAGGGCTGCGAGAAAGTGGGTTTTCTTTCCAAGATATTGTAGAAAGACTGGGGAGAAATGTATCCACTATGCATGATTTCATTTTTAATTCATAACCTTCGTTTAACAGCCGACCCTATTTAGTTTTTCCAACTACTAATGCTCAACTCTGTAGCTTCGTAATTTTGAACCCGATCCAGAAGACAGGTGAACTTCTAGATCTAGTATAGAGAGAGATTTGCCTTCGCAAGCTTTTAGAGTAAACTAACCTGCCTTTGCATTACATGGAGAGGAAAACCTCCGACGGTTATCCTGACGGCAAGAGGACCCTAACCCATAATCTGTAGGATATTTTATGTCAGCACTGTGGTCGGTGCAAACAGGGTACAGAATTTGTATTGATGCTATTGATGGGATTTAAACTCAGTTCTCCTCATTGGAGAGAACGCTCTACCACCTTAGCCACCACGGCTCACTGTGCATGATTGGTGGCAGCAGTGCTAAAGGGAAGGTATTACTTCAAGACCAGGTTCTGTGCGGCCACATGGCTCTACTCAGATAGAAGAGCGCCCTGTACGGCATATGGCTCTGGTACACCGTACAGCATCTGTATCAGAAATTTGAGTGACACAACAAACTGCAACAAATCAAATCAGCTACTTCAAGTAGTGAGACGCCCTGTAGCTTGCATTCCACTCGCTCAAACCACTGCCGTTTACGACATGAGTGGTGTTGAGTTAGAGCTCACTGAAGGACAGAGTGGAGATCTTTTGTGTTTTCTGATAAAAGTCGGTGCCAGTGCTAGCCGTATACTAGTTAGAAGGAAACCGGGTGAGCGCCTGTTACGGACCTGTCTCCGGTGCAGACACACCGAAGATACACCTGGAGTTATGGCCAGGGCAGCACCTCGACTGCGAATTTTTACGTCAACCTGGTGATTCAAACTATTTTGTTGCCATTCATAAGCAGCATTCAAAAGGGTATTTTCCAATAGGATACTGCTCAAGCCCTCATACTGCTGCTATAAACCAACATGATCTACAGCATGTCTCCTTGGCCTGCTAGATGACCAGATCTTTCCCCAATCGAGCAAGTACGGGACATCATTGGACGATAACTTCAGCGTATCCACAACCAGCATTAACTATCCCAGTATAAAATGACAAGTTGCAACAGGTGTGGATCTATGTCGTAACATTATATTAAAAATTAATTCAATTTAATTGAAGCATAAAAAAGAGGGCAAATATATCATACTTTAATAATTCTTGTTACAAATCGGAATTCGCAACTAAATTTCCTCTAGCAAACGAACTTATAATTGTTAGCCATTTTGACATCTGAAGGTGAGTTTTTCTGTAACAAATCTGTGGGAAAAAAAATCTTTGAAAAAGAGGGTGCTGCTAAGGACGGAATAAATGTCCCATCAACGAGACTTTGCGCCAGTAACAAAATGTAATTTTAGATTAGGAGAGTCCGTGAATCAACGGCCTGCGTTTGATTTGTGTTTAGTTAAAATGAACAATATTTCAAAAATGGCATAGGTAGGAAAATAAGCTATTTTTATTCCATAGTATCATCTTATAGAAATGAACTTCATATAAATCCCGTTTTCTCAGACGTATAATATTTAAACAGTAATGGGAATTCAAAACTTATTTCACAAAAACAAAAGAATTTTATAAAAGCAAATATTTTTCATAAATTCACTTATAAATTTAACTAGTATGTACAAGTAAAACTTTAAAAAAATCCTGTTTAATAATAGTTGCCTATCGATTATTACTTAAAAACATTTTTTTAGTAATATCTGCCTCTAAAACAAAATTTTGAAATGTCTCTCATGTTATTATAACCTTATAAATTGAAATACTTTCACTTTTTTCCTTCACAAACAGGAATAGTGCAGCATTTAAACTTAAAATACGGAATCAAAATTATACCTTAAATTCTGCAACAAAACTTTAGATAATTAGGGGTATCATGAAAAATAAACACTTCTCAAAATTTATCACTGTTGATACTGAACATTTTTTTAAATAATAAGTAATTTTGCACATAAAGGAACTTTCTACTAGGCTTTGGTATAAATTTATATTATATGCTAATTGACAATCTACACAGTATATTTAGGGCACTTCATGAAGACAATCTCTTAGCATTCTTAAAAGTTTTATAATTCCCAACCTTAAGATAAATTTAAGTTCCTGATTCAGCATTGGGGTAGTTATGCTTTTTTTAAAAATACTTTCCACCCGAGAATAAATTATTTTAGCACCACATGGAGGAAAAACTATATTTGTTAGTACTTAACTAGTAAGAATATTTTAAATGGTCAATGACTGAGCTATACAGCAGTTATGGAACCAAAAAAGCTATGATTCACATCAGTTATATGTGAAAAAAGTCAAAGCATATTATAATAAAATAAAATAAAATCAGATACATTTCGGTGTTACTAAGAATGCCTTCTTTAAGTATGAGTGATCGCACTGGAGAGAATCCCCACATTACATTTTTATGTTCATTTTTCATATTAGGTTTGAGGAAGCTTTCAGTTGCAATCAACCATGGCACATTCACTAAACGATTGATGATTCTAAATCATTATTTAATTTCATACAATTACAAGAAATATTTTGTTTTTATATAAATTATCAAAAACAAAACATCAATCACAGAAATCAGACATTGGTATAATTTCAAACATAACAGAGACTTATGCAGGGTTCGTGCTTCTTTACTTCTGAGAAAAACTCCCAGATTATCCAGAGCTATAATTCAAGATAATAATAATACTCGCAGCAAACATCATTCATGAAAACAAAATAGTAATATTTAGACACAAAAAAAGCAATGATGCCACCTTGCTCCGGACAGCAAATAAATATTTTCAAGTGGTAGTTTATTAATGTGTGATTCTTAGTTTAATAAATTCAAAGGGTTATATAATTTGTCACTATGTTACAGCTTAGTCGTACTACACTGTTTAAAAAGTAAAGAAAATTAGCCAAATATTAGCAAATTTTAGTTTGTAGTTGCTTATCGTTTTTAAATTATTATGGCACATCCGGAGCAGTTGGCATCTCTGAAATAGTGATAGAAACATGACAAATTAAAAGATTCATTGATAATATTTACCCCTACATCAACCCCGATAAACCTTGAAATAAATAAAATCTTACCTTTATTTCAAAAAGTAAATCAAAACCTTCATCCAAGTAATAATTGCATAATAATCAACATCAAATAAATCTTTTTCTTAACCTGAAATTGCAGTCTAAAATCCTAACAAAGAATTACAACTTTATTTCCTTTAAAAGAATTTTATTAAAAAGGTAGGTAAAGTTCCCATAATTGCAATTTCTCTGAGAAAAACATTTAAATTTTTTTTTCTCGAGTTGTTGAGGATAATTTTAAATTCCCTGAGTTGTTCAGGTTTTCCTTGCGACTTATGAACCCTGTTTTGACATCAACTCAAATAAAATAAAATATCATTTTCAATCATAAAATCTATTATAAGTATCAATTATCACAGCTCAGTACTAACAAAACACATATTAAATTATTCATATCAAAGAGAAGACTTCACATTTAAAGCGTGAACTACTTTATCATCAATATACTTCTTTATTTCTTCAGAACTAAAACCTTCCTCTCGAAGAATTTCTATGGAATGTTGTCCATTCAAAGGCTCGGTCAGTTTCACTGCTGCAGGTGTTCTAGAAAGTGTTGGGGCAGGTGAAGGAACAACTTTTTCATCAGAACATATAAAAGTTCCTTTGCAGGAGTTGTGAGGATGATGATGAGCTTCTTCCATTGGTAGAACAGGAGCCACACAGGCATCAGTGAGGTCAAATATCTTGCACCATTCTTCTTGAGTTTTTGTGAGGAAAATTTTTGAAAACATTTCTATGTTTTCATCCCAATTATCAAACTGAGGGCACTTCTCTGGATCCACACCAAGACCTGCAAAAAGAAAAGCAATTATAGACTGAAGGGTGGATTCAGTAGAACTTAATGCCATTCCACCAAAAGCAAAATTAGTAAACTTATAATTAATCATTTTACAGTTTAAAAAGAAAGACTATATATTTTACAATTCTGCAAAGTTTTAACAATGATCAATTTAATAAATGGAAGGAAAATGTAATGGGCCACATTTAAATTATCAGCAATGGCTTATACTAAATGAAAAACCATAATTTATTTAGAACTCTTAAGTTCATGCTCTAAACATTTAAAAGAAAAAAGAGAAAATTAATGAATAATACTACAGCTTTTATGCATCAGAAAATCGATTTTTATTCTAAGATATTTTATTAATATTTTTAACTTTAAGTTAAACTCTAAGAATTTTTCACAAAATTGAACTTACGGCAAAAATTTCAAAGGAAAGATACATTTAGAATGTAACAGAATAAAAAAGAAACTCATTGCCTTGCTGCCACAGATTTTTAGAAATTTTCTTGTGAAAAGTACACAAGAAAGGACTAAACTAAATTTTTTTTCTTCAAATTTCTTGAAGCAAAACAATTATTAGATGATTTGAAATTTGTCTTAATTTAACAAAATGACATAAGTAATACTTCTTATTTAGAAGCCAATTTTGTATTTTGGTATCACAAAAAGAAAAAGAACTATTAAAATGCTGGAAACATAAATAGAAGTTTTTTTAATATTAGAATTGAAATTATTTTTGAGGTAATATTTAAGAAAATTTCACGAATTTTTTAGAGTAAAATAAGTTTATCCAACTTAATTTTTTCCCCATAATATTAAACATCATAATTTTCAGAAGAAAAAGTAAACTAGCATTTTTTTTTTTTTTTTTTTTTTTTTTTTTTTTNACCTGATTAAAGGATTTTTTTTTTTTTTTTTTTTGCATAATGTTTAATATCATACTTCAGAACATAAAACACAAACACAACGAAGTCATAAGTTAATTATTCTACTTTTGATCAATCATCCTAAATTTCTTTAATGAAATTTTCACTTATGGTTTAAAACATTTAAAAAAATGCTTTTATTTATATATGTATGCAATAACTTTATTTAAAACTATATCTTGAAAATTGTTTTACACAAAAAACTTTTATTTTGTTTTGCATAAACACTAAAATACCAGATTAGAGAATATATTGAATTTTCACCAGGCGACCAGAACCATCCAGGTAATAAATGAAATTTTTGCAGGTAAGTATTCATTTTGTCCTGGGCATCCAGTAAAATTTTAGAATTTTTACATCTCTTGTTAAAAAAAAAGTCATTTTCAAAAACATTTCTGTGTTAAGATAATAATAATTTTATATAATTTTAAATTATTAAAATTATATAAATTAAATAATTTTAGATTAAATTTCATATGCATATGCCTTTAAAAAATTCAGTCATAACAGAAAAGGTTCAATGCTAACATGTAAGTGACAAAAAATAACAACCAATACGAATATACATTATTAGAGAATATAAATACAACATAACACTTATGGACTATGCTTAGAAAAGAATTAATAACCAGATAGTATTAACTTGTAGTATTATTGAATAAATAACTTTTGAACTAAGCAAACTGAGCCAGTTTTTAAAAATTACAAAAAAGAACTTAAATATGAGTACCTTTACATAAAAGAGAGTAAAACTTGGTTTCTATGGCTCCAACAGACATAAACTTTCCATCTTTTGTTCTGTAGGTGTTGTAAAAGTGAGTGCCTCCATCCAAAACATTTGTACCACGAGGTCCTAACCAGATCGGTATATTGGCATACTTTGTGGTCCAAAGGAAACTAGATACATAAGCTGAACCAGCAACCTACAATATTCTTTATTCTTATTTATGAGGCATATTATCCAGACATTCATATATAGTACATAGGATAATTAATAGCAAAATGTCCAAGACATATTTATATACAACAATTTTTGGAATAAAATATGTGAACTCAGGACAAATTTCATTACTATTTAAAGCCTTCGCACCAAACTCCAACCTACACATCATTTGTTTTGAAAAAGAAAACTACTTCGGCTTTGAGATATGAGCTATTCTTTTCGTTCTGATTTTCATTCAGTCTTTCATAATTTTAACGATTTGGATGATCTACATATGCTATTATCCCTTTGACTGGTTATGGGCACATACAAGTGTCCATCAATATTGTGTGGTTATAGTAAGTAGAGAGAAACTGCAAGATAATTTAGCAATAATCCAAAACTTTTATAATCAATAATGGCAATAACAAAATGATAGTAAGTATTTACATATGATTAAAATGAAATAAAAACGTATTCTAGCACTCAATTTCGCAGGAAATTACATAATGACGATAAACAAGCAAGCTTGAAATAGAAAAAAAAAAGAATCAATATCAAAACATTTTAGGTTGGTATTGTATATTGTAACATCTCAGATTCAGCTGCATCGTAAACTAATTTATAATACACTGAACATTTTGCATATCATTAAAGTAAAGAACAACTAATGTAACCTTCCTTCCACATATTGAAATCATAGTAAGTTATAAACAAGGTATGTAACCTTTATAGGAAAAATACTACAACATCGAATTTTATTTTTACACTACGCTAAATAAGTAAAAGCATAATATGAGGGAAGATCTGACAGATTAGTCAAAATTATAGATATTTAAAATAGATATAGACTATGCATGTGCATTCGGAATAAGTTCAATATTTGTTTCTCTCTTTTATTTGGTCAGTCCTTCTCTGTCTTAAATTTGTTTTGTATGTTGCCAGAGGCGTGATTGTTCCCTTAACATTCTTATTTTTAATATGACATTTGTGTTGCACATGATTTTTGCATACTGCTTTTGATCAAAAATTTGTTATGAGAGAAAACTGTAACTTGGATAAAATTTTGGATTTAGTAAAGATTATAATGGTGAAATGCACGAGAAAACAAGCACTAGATTCGGAAGATGTAGAAATTAATAATGGGATAATTATGTCTAAAAAGCAAAATGAGCAGCAAAGAATACTCAGTACTTCTACTAATGGAGGGAAATCAAATTCAAATAATTTCGATGTCCAGTGCACAAAATAAAATACGGACCACTCTCAATATCTTTTGATCTAATTATTCTATCTTCACATTCTATGTCTTAATCTTAATCCAGTTTGAGGGGGTGACCTTAAATATACTAATTAATTAGTGCTGACGATATTTTTAGTAACAAAATCAGACACAAAAACGCACTTTCTTTGAAAAAAACACACCTTTTTTGCAATGGATTCGGATTGCTGACCACCAAACTATAGGGAGTAGCAGCGATCTGGGAAATATGGCCCATTTAGTTTGAACCAGAGAGTGGTCCAAAGTATAAGGCAATATATACATTATAACTATCAAATCATAGCGTGATAAAACCATTGGTGATTTCACTGAATTATCAATATATATTGAAAATAAATAATTGTTTTGATACATTTTGGAGTGGATAAAGTAATAATAATTGGATTGTTTACTATAACATAGGAGCTAGTAAGCCACCGAAAAGATCCATTTTAAGCAAAAAGGTATTCAGTCCTCAGTGATTGCAATTGTTTATTGCAACTTAGAGCAGTTAGCAGTCAAAAACAAGTTTTAAATGAAGAGGCTTTAATGTTAAATTCATTCATTTTAAAATAACATTTTTATGAGGCATTATTCAAGACAGTTAGCCACTCATAAAATGCATTAGTTATTTTGCTTCTTCACTCTAGAAATTGTTTAAAGGTATGCTACCGACTGAACTTGCTTGTTTAAATAAGTTATGGTTGTTTACTAGTCTTTGAATGCTAATGATTTTCAAGACCGTTACGAGCACTTTCATGACTGTTATTCTATTTCACCTAGTTTCATTTGGTATCTGGAATTTAACTGTAGCTGAAAGTTCTTTAAGCTATCCTGCTGGTTGGTGATGATTTTCAAAATACTTTTGTCTTTCTACAACACGTTTAATAAATGATACTTCAGCTAGCAAATTTATCTAATGAGCTAGATATCCATAAACAAATATATCGCCTCTAACAGCATCCATAAAGACCAATAGGTCTTTCTAAAGATTAGAATCAACAAAAATCTATTTAGATCTGCCCTAATTAAAAAAATATTTCACTAGCAATTTTTTTAATTGAATTGTTAAGAATACAGCAACTTGCATATAAAACAACATCAGAGACTTAAAACAAAAAAGGAAAGGAAACTAAAAATCTTTAAACCTCTTTTCATGTTAAGCAATCACTCAAACATATTTAAAGTGAATAATCTATAATCAGGGGTCTGTCTAGGTTTTTCTGAGAGGTACCTAATTTGTGAAAATTTAGATATAATTTGGGAAATTTAAAAATTACATTAAAAAAACAATACAAAATATGGATTTATCGTTTCTTACTGGATACAAAAATCAAATTTTAAGAAAAAGTATTTTGTGAAACTACCATTTTTCGTAAAGTTCAGTTTGTGAAGGTACCACTAAAGGGTAGTAAATGTGTAGCCTGGACAGACCCCTGATAATAATAAACCAAAATAAAAATACAGATTATAAAATGATAAATCTCGATTTGCATGAATTGTATCTTTTTCTTGAATGAGTTGCAACAGAAATAGAATGCAAATGGAAAAAATTACCATGTTGGCGTCTATAACTTGACCTTTCCCAGATTTGTGTCGTTCTAATAATGCCAAGCAGATACCTAGTGCACAAATAAGACCACCTCCAGCAAAGTCACCCAACAAATTGATTGGAGCTTGAGGTTTATCCTTTCCACCTATCATTGACAATACTCCTAAAATATTAATCTAATTAGCCCAAAGAATTATAAAGAAAAGAAGAAGAATTAGAGATAAATTCTGGCTCGCTTTTAGAGGTTCGAGTACGCCTGAGCTTGAAGAATTTTAACCCGAGCCCGAGATACATAGGATTACTTAGAGCACGAACCCGCCCCAGCGCAAGATATACTTTGGACATATGCCAAATTTCGATGTCTTGTTACTCTGCCTCTGATGTCTTAATACGAAAACTTGTCATTAAAACCCTTTACCATCATTAATTTGTAAAACAAATATCGAGAGAAAAATCTAAATTGAATATGAAAGAGAAATGTTGAAGAGAAATGATCGACAACAGTAAACATTTGTTTTTATTGTCTGTAAGATTCCTAATGAGATAACCTATTTATAAACAGTTAAGTTTAAGAATTAATTTTTATTTCACTCTGCTTCATCTATTGAATGGTGAGCAAATTAGTAAAAAAGTTTATAAAAATTTTATCAAGAGTCCGAGTTCGAAAACTAATTTCAGTAAACAAGCCTGTCTCATCTCTAATAAGAGCACACAAAGTAGGACACATTTTGAACTTTGTACATTTAACAAGTACTAAAAAAAATAATTCATGAAATCTAACTTTTAAACAATATAGACAAGTTAACAAATAAACAACATACAGTGGAGACTTTCTAGAACAAAATTATTTGTTTCCAGTTGAAAAAATTTGCTTTTCAGAACATTTCATTTAATAAAGGTTCAGACTCCAGCAAAAGTTTTAACTTTCATTAAAAAAAAAAATTTAAAAATTAGCAATACAAAAATAATTGCAATGCAAATATTTACTAACAAAGAATTGCAAATTTAGACAAACACAAATTTTTTTTTTCAAATACCTTGTACCAAATATAATTAAATATGAATTACTTTTCAAATAACTGTAGCAACTACAAAAAAATAAATGGAAGGTGAAATTATCCGGGAAAATATCTGCTTAATAATTAAATTTTTTTTCTTTGTAATTTAAGGCAAAACTTTTACTTTATTCAAGTAAAAGTTTAAATACAGTTTAAGGCAATTAGCAGGAAATTAAACTAATTTAAATTCAGCCTTTCTTTTACCTTAAATTTTAATTACATAATGAAAATATTCTGCATGTTAGAATTATAAGTGAATCAAGTTCTCTATAATTTAAGGTAGAAAAAGGTTTTTTTTTAAATAAATAAATAAAGCATGCAAATAACAGTTTCTTCTCAATTAATCTTCTGAGTAGTCCTGGCTTTTGTCAAACTTTAGTTTAAAGGCTTTTCTGCACCAGTTTTTCCATGCTATTAAATGGGAAAATTAGTCTATAGCATGGAAATGTCAGCACAGTTTTGCCCAAGGGCTGAATGCTTTGAGGATTAAGAGATGTTAAAAGGATTACTACTGAATATTGATCACAAAACCTGAATCATAACTAAAACAAGAAAAAAGTGCAGAACGGTTTAGGATAAAATTTGATAAGAATAATGATTTGGGGCATCAAATATTCAGGCACCATAGGTAGCCAAAGAAATAATTAGGAATTATTTATTTATATATTTTTTTTAAATATCAGGACAAAAATCAGAACATAACAGACTAATTTCAAATAGAGTAAATACGCTATAAAAAAAGAAAAAAGAATATAATTTTCTCTACTTAAGTAAACGCAAACTTTATAGCTTAAGAGTAACAAAATGTACTACTTCTAATTTTAAGGCTTCGAAAAACAATTCGAAGCATAAAATTAAAATTGCAAATTTGAATTCTTGATTGCCATTTTGTGAGGTTCAGTCAACTCCCATCTTTATGGTTACTGATTATTTTCAAATGCAAGTATAATTTTTTTTTACTAGTTCATATTTCTATTTCAAAATTAGCTATTAATTTCAATAACTCATTAGTTTTACATATGAATTCCCGTTTTGGCAATATGGCAGAAATTTTTTTTGTGAGAAATAATAACAGATTTTAATGAATTCAAAACAATAGCAACCATATAGCAGTTTCTAAATTCAGTGCTAATGTGTGGCTCAGGGAATAGAGTGTTCACCTCCCAATGAGGTGAACTGGGTTCAAATCCCAGCGATAGCTAGTCGATAGAAATTCTGCACCCGGCTCTCATCAACCACAGTAAAATATCCTCAGTGGTAGAAGGATCATGGGTCAGAGTCCCCTTGACGCCAAGCTAACCGTGGGGAGGTCTGCATGGTTTTTCTCTCCATTTAACACAAATATGCGTTAGTTCTATCAAAAAGTCCTCCATGAAGGCAAATTTCTCCCAATACTCAATCCAGGAGTTCCTTTGTCTTCTGGATTGGGTTCAAAATTACACGGCTACAGAGTTGAACATTTGTAGTCATAAACCCTAAATTGGGTAGGCTGTTCAACGACGGTTATAAAATAAAATATGTTACGAAGCTGTAAAGAGAATCAATAAAAATTTATTTTATTCTACACTCAATTCAAGATAGTTGTATTAAAAGATCGATTATATTAATAATTTTTATTTACTGAAAAAAGGATTAAATAAGAATAATTTAGTTTTTAAATGTTAGGAAATATACTATGCATATTTCAGCATGACAATTACATTAAAACGAGTATGAATAAGAAGTTTTAGAATACAAAAATTTTAAAAAACAACGTACCAGATATGGCTATATAGTTTATATCATGTCCCGCCATTTTTGCAAATGGTCCATTTTGTCCAAAACCAGTCATTCTAGCAAATATTAATGCAGGATTAACTTTGCACAGTACAGAGGGATCCAAATTGTATTTTTCTAACACACCTAAAAATATTAGCAAAAATTTAGAATAACCTATGACAAAATTTATGCAAGAAATTTGGATAAAATATAAATGTATGAATATAATGTACAGTAAAACCTTAATTTTAGGATGTGAGATGTAGGAAAGGTTTGTTTGAGATACCCAAATTTATATACCAAGTGAGTCAAAATAATAAATGTGTTATTTAGGGAAAGCAGATTTCTTTCTTTTTTAAAATAAGAATTTGGAATACTCATCAAAAGTTGCCTTGTGATACCAGTAGTTAACAAATAAATTCTTCAGAGATTATAATAAATTTTTAAGGTTTCTACCAGCCTGAGAGTATTACACTTAAAATAAAAATTTTAAATATTTCGAATTATAAATGAAACCTATTAAAACTGCATTCATAATGTGCAATTTTAACATGGACAATGTGAAAAGAGATGTTTTACGGGACTGCAGAAGTATCTAAAGAGTGGGGGGGGGGGGCTCTATATGATATATACGCACCAACCGTGTTTGAATTATCTGAACCTTACAAACTGGCAATCAAGAATTCGAATTCGCAATTTTAACTTCATGATTTGAATGGGTTTTAAAATTAAAATAAAAATAATTAAAAGAAATTGTTTACCTGTAAACTATTTATTTCTCAATGAACGGTATATTATTTTATTCTGTTTCACTGGGTTTTATTTCTTTCTTTATTCTGTTTGCTGTAACATTTGAAACTAAGAATTTTCCCCTTGAGTCAGCAATAGGGTCATTTATTTCCGCTGTGGGGGATAAGTAAAGGATGATTTGACACTAGGATGATTTTCACCAAAAAAATGTTAAAGCTCACTCGAAATAGAGAAATTTTTTTTTAGAACTCAAAAAAAAAATTTATCTATATTTTTTAATTGTCAATTTAATGACACAAATATTGAGTGAAAAATTGTTACTGTGTGAAATATTCATAATCATTTAGTTCTAAATAAAAGTTTTTGATCGCTACTAAAAATGTCTTGCTGTCTCTCACTTTTCACTTATACTTTGCATCCACCAAACAAAAACCATTTTGAACATGGGTATAAATCAAGTTCTCCTAAAAGTAGTGACTACATTTCAGAAGTTGTTTGTACTCACTATATTTTTAAGAAAAGTAGTTGTACTTAACTACTTTGTAATAAAATAGTTGTAAACTACTTTGTAATAAAATAGTTGTACTTAACTACTTTGTAATAAAATAGTTGGTGTAAACTACAAAAAAAAAAAAAAAAAAATTACTTCTCAACCACTGGTATAGTTGTTTTTCATTTTTGACTTTACAGACCATTATTTGACACTGTGTTTATCTATGAGAGCCATCTCAAAAACTTGATTTATCTTTAAAAAAAAAGCATGCATTGCCAAAAATAAGCTATAAACTGTAACAAAGCCGGCCTTCTATGTTTTAATACTTTTCCCTTGAATCATAATTTTTAAAGCCTTTCTAGCAGGGTTGGCAAGGTTTAGGACAGAATGGATTAATCCACGGTTTAAACCCTGGTTTAAACCGTCCTGTCCAAAACCCCTTTGTCCAAAACTGTCTTAAACTGTCCTAAACCCTTTTTCTCAAATTATGTCACAATTTTATCTGAACAATGTTTAAGAGGTAAAATAAACATAGAACTAATAACATATTNATATGTCCTGCTCTTAATTAAATGCATAGTTGAACCAAAAATAGATTTAAGAACAGGATGTGGCTTTTAAAAGTGTGAGAAAGAATTTGGAATAGAATAATTAATTAGTAATAAAGTAGGAGTTGTTTTATAGCAAAGAAACTAACATAAAAAGATTAATAGAAGCTTTTTATGTTACATATATATATATATTTGCTCTTAAACGTCAATAAGGCTCAAATGTTTTAGTTTTCTTTTAGTTAGCTTTCTTCTTTTATATATATACACACTCACAGAGGAAGGAAGAGGAGCTTCCCCCCTCTTGAGATTATGACTATTTCTTAAGAGGATGACCCTCTCCAAGATTTTGATGTCTTCCTTTAAGTGGTCAAGTTACAGCATGTGGTGTGTGACTTCCACTGCATAAAAGATGGGTGGTTATTGCCTTTTCTTATGACCTTCTCCTCTCAAACCCTCTATTTGAATGAATTTCAAAGAATAGTGAAAAAAATCTTTTTAGAAAGCATATGGCCTACTATCTCTTCTAAAAAAAAAAAACTGAGCTACAGTAAAATCTGCTTTTCCTTTAATTTTTTTTCCTAGTAGAACTGAATCAGACACTGTTTATTTTTAATCAACTCCCATCTTTATGGTTACTTATTATTTTCAAAAACAAGTATAACTTTTTTTTTTTAACCATTTCATGTTTTTATTTTAAAATTAGCTATTAATTTCAATAACTAACTAGTTTTACATATGAATTACCGTTACACTCATATGGCAGGAGCGAGAAATAATAACAGATTTTAATGAATTCAAAACAATAGTAACCATATAGCAATTTCTAAATTCTGTGCTAATGAGCTATGCGCGACTCAGGGGATAGAGTGTTCACCTTCCAATGAGGTAAACCTGGTTCGAATCCCAGCTATAGCTGGTCGATAGGAATTCTGCAACTGGCTCTTACCGACCATAGTAAAATATCCTCAGTGGTAGATGGATCATGGGTTAGAGTCCATTGATGTCAGGCTAACCGTGTGGAGGTCTGCGTGGTTTCTCTCTCCATTTAACGCAAATGTGGGTTAGTTCTATAAAAAAAGTCCTCCATGAAGGCAAATTGCTCCCAATATTTGATCCAGAAGTTCCCTTGTCCTTTGGATTGGGTTCAAAATTACAAGGCTACAGAGTTGAACATTTGTAGTCGTAAACCCCAAATTGGGTCGGCTGTTCAACGACGGTTATAAAATATGTTACGAAGATGTAAAGAGAATCAATAAAAATAGATTTTATTCTACACTCAATTCAAGATAATGGTATTAAAAGATTACCGATTATATAATTGATTTTTAATTACTGAAAAAAGGGTGAAATAAGAATAATTTAGTTTTTAAATGTTGAGAAATATGCTATGCATATTTCAGCATGACAATTACACTAAAATGAATAAGAAGTTTTAGAATACAAAGTACCAGATATAGCTATATAGTTTATATCATGTCCCGCCATTTTTGCAAAGGGTCCATTTTGTCCAAAACCAGTCATTCTAGCAAATATTAATGCAGGATTAGCTTTGCACAGTACAGATGGATCCAAATTGTATTTTTCTAACACACCTAAAAATATTAGCAAAAATTTAGAATAACCTATGACAAAATTTATGCAAGTAATTTGCTTAAAATATAAATGCATGAATATAATGCACAGTAAAACCTTAATTTTAGGATTTGAGATGTAGGAAAGGTTTATTTGAGATACCCAAATTTATAAAAGTGAGTCAAAATAATAAATGTGTTATTTAGGGAAAGCTGATTTCTTTCTTTTCTGAAATAAAAATAGTAATACTCATCAAAAGTTGTCTTGTGATACCAGTAGATAACAAATAAATTATTCAGAGATTACATTAAATTCTTAATAGTTTCTACCAGCCTGAGAGTATTACACTTAAAATAAGAATTTTGAATATTTGGAATTATAAGTTATTTTCTCTTTTTTCTTAAAAAAAAATTATTCTTTCATGATCAGTACAATTTCAATGATAAACTGAATGTCATAAGTTATATAAAATCAGTTCTTTCTTTGAATTTACTCACTACAAGCTGATGCCATAAAAATCACTTGATTTCCATTTCAGATTATTTCGAAATCTATTTTGTGATCAAAGATTTTGTATTTTAAGTAAGAAATATTTTTAGAAAAAATCTCATTTTTTTCTTTTAAGTAAATATTTATTAAACTTAACAAGTTTAACATTTTGTCCTATTTTCAGCTCACCATTAGACTTTTACAATTCAGGACTACCTACTTATGAAGATGTTATAAAATGGTATTTAGATATATAATATGACCTCAAACATTGCTTAGTTTCTGGGAAAGATTCAAGTATTTCCGATTTCAGCCAAATCATAGTTAGAAAAATCGGAGCAATTTATTTGAGTGTATTAATTCCAACAGTCTCTCATGACCGCCATTTACAACTCATTCGTAATTATCAGAAAAAGAAATTCGCACATTGATTCCAGAGTACTTTTTTTTTAAGCAAATCAAATGTTATTTAATATAGGATATAGCAAATGTGCAGATATTGAAAAACGCAATTGTGAAAGGTCGAGAATAGTTCTGCCAAAGAGTGATCTTTCATAATTGATCAAAGACATGGTAGAACTTAGCGTAACAGAAAGACAAAGAGTAAAAAAAAAAAATATTAAGAGCAGAAAAATGAAAATTATGCGCAATAAAAGCAAAAGAATTTAATGAGCCTGTAACTCATTCAATTTTCTTACTGGTAAAAGATTTGCTCCACTGGTAAAGTTCAGCATAAATGGGCAAAGATATTATAAATAATTAAACCCAATTTTTTGCAACTGAACTGTCTGCCAAAGAAAAAATGGAACAACAAACAACCCCTTGTTACTGCAAGAAACTACAATCAAATACCTTCACTAGCAGGTATTTGTCACAAACTTTAAATGCTTAATAGACCTGCAGTCATAGTAGCATTTGCAGTTCTGCAAGAGATTGGTATTACTGAAACTGAACTAATCTTTGACAAAAATCAAATCCAAAGAGCTCACCAACGTAATTGCTTTCTCAAAAATTTTGAAATCTCAAAAGTGTAAGAGGACTATGTTTAGACAGGAGACATACCAAAACTCTTTATCAAGAGAAAATTAACACACACAAAAGAAAAATCTTTATATTTAGGTCATACCATGCCACTTTCTGGTTCAACTAAGAATGTAGAATTTTCCATAATTGAATTATTTTTGTCAAGAATTATAGATATTGACAATTTACAAGATATTGGCTGTGACGGTATAAATATCAATACAGGTTTATATAATTAGTACCATAAAATGTCTAAAACACCATCTAAATCATCGCCTAAAATTATTTATATGTTTATTGCATCACGAGCTTCCACTACAGCACTTATTCTGACATTTAGACAGAGCCATGCTTGGACCACGAGAATTCAGTGGACCCATTATAAAATAATTAGAGCATTGTGAACAAAAATCTGTGGAAAAATTTATCCCCAAACTTTTTGTTTTACCTAAAGTTGATGTTCAAATTCTATGTACAAATCAAAAGCACCTATATGAGATTTGTCTGGCATATGCGACTACATTTAAGTCAACAAACACCCTGAATATTTATCCCACGCAAGATGGCTCATAATAGCAAGTTTAACATTAAGACTATGTTTCAAGTGATAAATCATCAGATGACCTAAAGATATTAGAATTTATTGAAAGAGTTTTTGCACCACTATGGCTGTGGTAATTGGCCTAATTTTAATCAATACAGAATATACTTATGTAGGAAAAATTTGTATATTTGGTACCTATTAAAACTGCATTTATAATGTGAAATTTTAACATGGGCAATGTGAAAAGAGATGTTTTATGGGACTGTGGAAGTATCTCAAGAGGAGAGGGGCCTCTCCTTATATGAGAGAGCCTTATATATCATATATACTCACACACCAACCATGTTTGAATTATCTGAACCTCACAAAATGGCAATCAAGAATTCCAATTTGCAATTTTAACTTCATGATTTGAATTGGTTTTAAAATTTAAAAAAAAATTAATTAAAAAAATTGTTTACCTGTAAATTATTTATTTCTCATTTAAACAGTATATTATTTTATTCTGTTTCACTGTTTTTTTAAACTTTTATTCTATTTGCTGTAACAATTGAAACTAAGAATTTTCCCCTTGAGTCAGCAATAGGGACATTTATTTCAGCTGTGGGATAAGTAAAGGATGATTTGATACTAGTTTTCGCCAAGAAAATGTTAAAGCTCACTTGAAATAGATAAATTTTTTTTAGATCCACAAAACAATTATCTACATTTTTTAATTGTGAATTTAATGACACAAATATTGAGGGTAAAATTGTTATCTTAGAGACTGTGTGAAATATTCATAATCACTTAGTTCCAAATAAAAGTTTTTGATCGTTGCTAAAAATGTCTTGCTGTCTCTCACTATGCACTTACACTTAGCATTCACGAAACAAAAACCATTTTGAAAATCAAGTTCTCCTAAAAGTAGTGACTACATTTAAGAAGTTGTTTGTACTCACTATATTTTTTAAAAAAAGTAGTTGTACTTAATTACATTTTGTAATAAAATAGTTGTTGTAAACTACAAAAAAAAAATTACATCTCAACCACTGTTATAGTTGTTTTTCATTTTTGACTTTACAGACCATTATTTGTCACTGTGTTTATCTATGAGAGCCATCTCAAAAACTTGATTTATCTTTCCAAAAAAAGCATGCATTGCCAAAAATAAGCTATAAATTTTAACAAAGCCGGCCTTCTATATTTTAATATTTTTCACTTGAATCATAATTTTTAAAGCCTTTCTTGAATTGGTTTTTTTCCTAAAGAGACATATTTTAGATGACTGCATCTGATACTACATCTAATATTGAAAACAAACTAGAAGTGGATGGTTTAATTAAAAAATATTTTGTAAACAATATGCAATAGAATTAAGAATAAAAATAATATTCATAATACCAGGTCGATATGGGTCAATTAGTACATCTGCTGTAGAACAAAGTTTAGTAATTATGTGAGCAGCTGCAGTTTTTTTGAGATCTAAAGATAAAGATCTCTTCCCTCTCGACAAACTATCCTTATCTGTATACGTGTCAGGCTGAAAATTAAAAATATATTGAATTTATCACAAATACATTGCTAAAAAATATCTATTCTATAAGGATATTTCATTTTTAAAAAAATGAGATTTTAATACATACTTGTTGATTGCAATAAAATAATGCAATGTGCTAATCCACTGACACTACTATATATATATATATATATACATTCTGAAGAAATGGATTTTATTATAGTTTGTATAGGTGATTTTAGCATTTTTCAACAATTAACAGATTTTACTAACCAATAAGCATATACCTCATATGCATAACATATCTTGCAGTCAGATACAATGACACTAGTAGATGCTTGCCATTTATAGATTGAACAACTAAATTATGACAACTTTAATCCCTTTCAAACAAAAGTTTAAAAAAAGTTCAACAAAGCAGTTTTAACTCTACATCTTCTTTCTTAGCCATTGCACCTAAATTATTATGGCAAAAATTTTACATAAAAGCCATAGAATAGTTACTAAAATAAGTACTTTATTTGCTTTCTATGCAATGAATTTTAATTGAAGAAAACACCATTTTTAAGTAGCTACATTTTATCAAACAATGTGATTACTATGATTAATGCCAACAAGTGGGAAAAAAGTGTAGAAAAGTCATGCATAGTTTCAAAAAATTCTATAGATTGTTTAAAGCCCACTAGTAAACATGTTCAATAGTAATGCAGTCTTTAAAAAAGAATTTTCTAACTTTTCATTTGTCCAATCTGAAATTAGCAATGCTTTACTTTTGCTTGGCTATGTTGAAACAACAAAAATCGTAAGAAAATGATGAAAAAGAGTATTTAAATGTCAAAATGAATGCATTTTTATATTAAAGTATTTAAAATAATAAATGAATTCCAAGATTTTGCTTATTTTAAATCTTTTGATCATTAATTGATACTTTTATACAATGTGCAGCAAAAATATCTAGCCAACAATTTTTAATATTGTTTAAAAAATAAATTTATTAATTAAGAAAATATAATAAATGATAATAGACTCCTAATAGTAGGTTAAAAGTTTATTGAAAGTTTCAGCAACGGGTCAAAAGTCTCCTACTTTTAATCTATCCCGTTCCTGCCAAAGCAATTGATTTGGAGAGTCCAAATTTTTGTAATTTTAAGTCATTTAAACATCAATCATACTGGGGCCTTTAAATCATGTGAATGTAATTTAAAATCGTGTTGGCATCGGTAAGAAAAAGCATAATAATGAATTTTTTCGCGAGAATTCTGAAAAGAACTCACGTAAAATAAGCAGTTTTTTTCTTCATAAATAGTAAAAAATGTAATAGTACGTTTCTGTAACAGTAAAAAATTTTCCACGATGGTGACAAATTTTCCGAGAATGGAGTTCATATGTTCATGTGTATTATACAGGCCTGTGCTGAAGATGAACACCGATTAAACTTTACATTTTATTTCTGATTGCCATAGTCTTAACAGTTTGTAGCAGGCTCAAAGAGCTCTATGTTGAGGAACTAACCCATTAGTAGAATCTGGCAACAATAAAATCTAGAGATCCAGTTTTAACGTGAATTGCTGTCACAACGATAGAACAAGATAATGGCATACAACAATAAAAGTGTAAATAAAAGGTGATTATTATTATTATTCTAATCTTCTGATATGGTTGCAACAGTATGGTCTGCACACGATTAATAAAATATAGAGCAATATACAAGACTACATTAGTGACTTCTCAAAGGTTTCAACTGAAACTACACTGATTTCATTTGTTACTTAAATCTCTTATAATGAGTTCATTTTGCTAACATTTTTAGCTCTAATATAACTTCATGCATTTGTCTCAGCTTTTCATTGAAAGTACTTGGAATAAACAGAACACTTGCAAAATGTCTGAGGTAAGTTCAGTTAAAATACCTGAATAAAATAGAGCAGATCCAGCTCTTCTGTTTATTACGTGCAAAAGTTTATTTGCTTTATCATAACCCAAACCCATAACTAAATTTAAATATGTGGTTTCCCATTTACCCACAGAGGTTGCATCTCTTGGATTATTACTTTGGTTTCTCCTGATGAAGCTGCTCCCTATAATAATGTCAATAATAAAATTCTAATTCAGTCAAGTGAATCTTCACAACAGGAGGTTTGTCAGCTTTTATCAGGCAAAGAATTGGAAAATAGAAAGTCTTTCAATTGTACAGAAAAGTTAAAAGTATGAGAAAATTGATGTTAGAATTATTTTTATAATAGTTGCCAACATCGATACAAACCATTTTGGCGGCTTTAACAGATCTTACAACAGACAAAGGAGTCATATAAGATCTTAGAAGTGACACCTTTTCCCATGGAGATTTATGCAGTAAATAAAAAACAACTCCTGATAAAATCAATTTTTTTTTGACACCGTTCTGTTTCGTAGAAGCTAAAGTCAGCAAAGGCAAAGAGCAAGTAGTAAAAATCAAGTCATGGTAACCAATATATTTTGTGTATTGCTCCATATTTTATTAATCCTTAAAATTGTAACCATATCAAAAGATTAAAATAATAATAGTCACCTTTTATTTAATTGTTGTGTACTTTGTAGTAATGGCTTATACATATTTTGTATTTATTTCATCCTAAAGTTTGTGTTTGTTCAGCATAGTGTATGGCAAGACTAAAAATCTAACGATCCAGTTTTATTAAGAGTTGCCTTGACAACGACAGAACAAGGTAATGAAAGACAACGATGCATTCGTAAATAAGAGGTGATTATTATTCCAAACTTCTGAATGGTTGCAATATTATTTCCTGGGCACGATTAATAAAATATGGAGTAATACATAAGACCATACAATCTATCAATTAAACTCGAAAGTTGACAACTTTTTGAGGACCTCAGCGCCTCAGTAATACAAAAGGACATTACGTTTTACTAAATAGTGTAAACGACAAAGAGCAGCTATTACCTTATCAATTCGTGTGACAGTTGCTCCAAAATCACTAAGAATCATGCCGCAAAAGGGAGCTGGAGCTAAACCTGCAAGCTCGATAACTTTAAGACCTCTTAATGCCATTTTGACAGTTTAATTTAATGCATAAAAATGAAGTATACAACAAAAAAAACAATTGTCATCTGGTCATCTGATTCGGATTTGACAGAAAATAAACAATCTACTTTTTCTTTTCAGTTCTTTATCCTGCTGCTATTGCCATTACAAACCTGTTTTGCAACAATATTTCCACCAAAAAGGTTACATTTTTAGTGTTGCCAAAAAGCGAAGTACTATTCATTTTCTTTTTATACCTTTATTGATATTTATGAACCTAAACCGGCACAAATGTAATCAGCTCGATGCGTTGTTAAATAAATAAACACATTGATCTTGCCAAGACATTGATAATGAATAATTTTAACTTCTGTCTTGTAAAAGGTTTTAATTTTGACTAGAGAAATAGAATTTTTCCACTTATTTATTTGACACATTTTACAGTACAAAGATGAAACAGGAATCACTTTTTTCGAAATACACGCGTATTATCGCAGTCGTTGCAAGTTATTGGTACGATATTGAAATCAATATGTTACCCGTTTCTTTTTCAATTATTATGGTATAGTGCTGATAGTGTTTCAAATGTTAAGTAATTTGGGGAGATTTCCGTAACGTGATCTGTGGCAGAATAACCGCCAAGCCTTGGCAACTTCCGGGCATCCGCCCGCAAGAAATTTAAAAAAAAAAAACATTACGGAAATAAATATACAGTAGAGCGCCGATTATCCGAACCCTTATTATCCGAACGTCTAATTATCCGAACTATGTCTAAATTCGATTTTTTTTTTTTAAAGTTTAGAATATTTTTTAACCTATCGACAATTTTTCTAAATTNTTTTGCAATGGAAAATAATGAAAAATATGGTAAAATCAGTAATTACGAAAAAATTATGAAAAACTGAAATACGATGAAAATAATTCAAAATGAGAAAAAAAGTTTTAAAAAAAATAATAAAAGTATTTAAAAATTAGAAGAAAAAAACTTTAAACACGCCAGAGCTATTTTAGATAGTACTGCTAGTCCTAATCCTACAACGAAAAGGTGCGAAGGGAAGTTAGTGCATATAATAATCATTTACACTAGATTTTAAGCTACTTTCCAATTAACCGAACTTTTCATTATCCGAACCATGTTCGGTCCCGAGCAGTTCGGATAATCGGCGCTCTACTGTATATTTATATATATGATAAATATTTGCAAATCAAATACAATTATTTTGTAAATGAGTATAATCCCAGTTATGTGATTGTTTGAAGAAGAACTTAGCTGCAATTCTCTTTTCTTGTAGAACTTAATTTTCTTCTGCTTTTACTTAAAAGATAAATAATAGTCTGCCATTTTTGTGCACAAAGTGACATTCAAAAATAATTTTAACTAACACATTTTTTCTCATCAGCACATATATATTATTTTATTTTTGTCGTTGAACAGCTGACATAATTTTAAGTTTACAATTACCAATAATTTACTCCATAGCCTTGTAATTTTCAACGCAATCCAGAAGACAGGAGAGCTTCTGAGTTAAGTATTGGGAGAATTTTGCCTCCGTGAAAATTTTTTTGATGGAACTAATCCACATTTGCGTTACATGAAGAGGTAAAACTCGAAAACCTTCCACGGTTAGCCTGACTAAAAGAATACTTTAACCCATGATTCGCACACTGAGGCTATTTTACTTCAGCGAAACTGCTGCTCATAAAACTATAAGTATAAAAAATTGAGACAAATACCCTTTTTTTTTCTAGTGCACGATATTTCAAATATTATCTGTTACAGAATTAATATTTAGGTAATCAATTTTATACTTGTGTTTGCCTTTGTTGTTAATTTACTCTAGCAGAATTTTTTTTTTTGTGAAGTCGTGTTCTCGAAGTTTATTGTATTGAAAAAAGCGGAATAAATGTCACCTTATCAGGATTTCCTTAAGTTATAAAATAATTCAGATATGGGGAACTCTGAGAAAAATTAATTATATGTTTCTCAAAATGTGACAATTTCTTTATGAAATTATCGGAAAAGTATGCATTAAGCATTTACTTGTGTGGTTCTTTTTTATACTTTGGGGGATTATTTTTACGATTTTATTGATTTTTCATTATTCTTTATCCAAACAACGTGACTTATCTTTTATAGTTGCATTATTGCTAATTGATTATTCTTATCTTATATAGTGGATACTGGTTTAATTTGATAGTTTCATTTATGACAGTTAAAAAATTGTTTGAAACTATAGTAATTTTGTCACTATATTTACACCCAAATCCTAGGTTTATATGAAACTTTGAAAAGTACTGGTCATTAGGACCCAAAACTTCCAAATTTCTGGGTACTCTTTGACCAAAACAGGTCCCTATTGAGAAAAATATAAATTTCTACTTGTATTATTATCAACAGAGACCTTTAAAGAACTCAAGAACTTTTTAAATAATAGATTGAAAAATATTTGTTCATAATTAGGAAATCCAATATCCTAAAATGATTCCATGCAAATAATTATTTTCTTTGTTTCATTTAATAATAGTCTAAGAGTGTTTGAATTACATTGTATACAGACCAGTTGAGTAGTGATCAAGAAATTAATTTTAGATCAACAACATTTTTCAATTGTTTGTAAATAAACTAATGAAAAGTAATTATTAAAAAAATGTCATTTCAATGAAATTATCTGTAGGTAAACAATATATATTCAGAGGTCTGCTTAGAAGAAATACACAAAATATCTTTTCATGAAAATGCACCCTTCACAAAATAATTTTTCTTTTAATCCAGTCCTTCATAAATTTGTTTATCTTCATTATTGTTTTGTTAATCAAATAAACCCTTCCGGAGGGGGGGGGGAGAAAGACAGTTCAAGACAGACAAAGTTTCCCTAAGTTTAAATTCCAAATGTAGTATTCTAAGAAAATATTTCTACTTTTACAAGCATTGTGTGCGCATTCTTATTAATCTTAAATCATTTTTTTTTCGTAATTCAATAATTAATCAATTTATATTTACTCATAAAATTAATTAATTAAATATTATGTTAATAAAAATTATTTTCTGGCAATTTTTTAAATAAAATATTATAAATTTGAGAATTGTTTAAGTGTACTTAATGTGTAACACATTAAAAGTGATACATTACTAAGTTGTGTTATTTAAAATATGTCAGTTGAAATTATTAAAAATGTGAGTGATTTTGTTTCCATCATTCATCCGAAATGAATAGTCTGTGTTGTATGTTGCATCTCTAATTTAGTAGCAGCAATTGTTGAGCAGAATCTTGTATCTATTTGTAATTTAAAAGCTTCTTGAAAAGGTTTTCAGCAGTTTTTGCAATAACAGGACCCTATTTGCACAAATTCACAAGAGCAGGACCCTGGATGAAAGAATGTGACTTAACGCTTATTTTATGTTCACAAATTATAAATATTTTTTTCACAATTTTACAAAAACAGGACCTTTCAGAAAATGTCTGGACCAGGGTTGGAGTTTTTGCCGGCAAAAAGGGGTTTTTGCCAGGACAGTGGCAAAAACTGGTAAAAACCAGCAAAAACCAAATTATCTAAATTGCTGATTAAATATTATTACAAAATACTTGTAACAAATTTAAATCAATCATAAGGAATAATAATTTTGATACATTACATGAAAAATTATTTTTAACATATTAATAATTAATATAAGGGTAATAATTTTTAAAGATTGAAAGTTTTTTATCTCTTTTCATTTTAGAATCCTAAAATAAATGTTTTTTTACAAATAAATAAATATTATTATTTGTATAATATTATTATTTATTATAAAAAATTATTATTTGTACAATAATTAACTACACATGTTGACAGATATTTTATGCTTTAAGTTATAGTTATATTAATTTAAAATAAGTTCATTTCACTGGAAAAAAGAGAATAATCACAAATTTTCCAATCAATAATGTTTTAAACTACTAAAATGATGTATTATTACATTATCATTTAATTATGATTTAATAATAATTTTGTTAATTTTTCTGTAATTATATTTATATTCATAGTATATATTTCAATTTTAGGAATAATTTTGTGCAAAAAATGTGTTTTTGTCCTCTCATCTTGGAGAATATAGGTTTTTGCCACTTTTTGCCAATTTGCTTGGCAAAAACCTGTTTTTGCCAGGACGGTTTTTACCGGTATTTACCATGGTTTTTTCCACCTGCGGCAAAATCTTGCCAACCCTGGTCTGGACAGACCCCTTATATTATAATTTTTTTTAAATATTTATTATTTTTGTGTATACATATATCAAATTTTTTTAACTTAGTGTATTTCATTGCCTCCTCAATGAAAAATTCCTGTGCGTGTCTGTGAATGTTCTTAATACCAGTTAATAAATTTTTTCAGATAAGTGGCAGCCCTGATCAATCCCTATGTTTAAGTTTTCGACCGTAGACGATATTGATGAAGGGGCCAGTAATTTTGCAACAAAGCATGTTGTGACATAAAACAATGTGCTTTGGCTAGTTTCCTTTTGGAGGTAAATTGCGAAATTTACCTCCAAATCTTATTTTATTTATTAATTGTGATTTATAAATCTTGATTTCACTCAATATCTTATGTCATAAATCTCTTATAAATAATCTGAATAATTACATTTTGGCTCCTTGTCATAGAGGATCGTAATATATTTTCTTTAACGTTGCATTTTGCCTTTCTGATTTTTGTTTTGTTTTACAGGGTTGTATCCATTACATTGGTATTTGTTAATAAGCATTTACTTAGTGGAGATAGTTTTAAGGTGAGTAGTAGCAATATTTTAATTTGGTTAAATTTAGTTTATAATTTCTTTGTGACTACATTACCAATTAACATTAAAGTCTTGTGTGTTGCATCTATCGAAAATAAATACAAATTTTTCAAATCTTACTCAATTTTATGTAATCTATTGATTTTAAATACTTGTTACCTATAGGTAGGACTTACTGATTAAGTTAAGTGGTTTGATATACTCCCAGAGATTTACAAGTGATATAAAATAATGATAACTGATACAGTCAATGTTTCATTCTTTTCATTGGGGACACATTTTTTTTTCTCCATAATGAAGTATGCTAATTATTTGGCTCCAATATGTCTGCCCAAGTGATAAAGCTAAGCCATTTTTAAATGTAACTATTTTTTTTAAAAAATAAAAATTTTGGTTAAACCTATGTCCAGTTTATGATACTTATATTTTAAAAGCAATTATGAGCTCAATCTTCAATACATAATATAAATTTGCATTATTTGTTAAAAAAGGAAAGAATACCATTTTTTTAATTGCCATGTGATTCAGCAGATAATGTTTTACTATTTATACTTTTGAAGTTTTCAGAGAAAAAATAAAGCATTCTTAACTTAAATTTGCAGTTATTGATTTTTATGTATTATTATGTTTTCAGTTTTGGAGAATTGTCAGGAAACTTGAACTGAAAAATTTTTAATGTTCTTTAATAATTTTTATAAATTATGTTCTAAACTGTTATATCAGACTTTGTCTTAAAATGCCATTCTAAACAAGATTTTAGTGTGCTTGAGTAACTCAAATGTAAACTTATTTTGATATGCAACTTGAAATTCCATTAGAATGCAACTAACACTAGCAACAGGGTTTGTATAAAAAAAATCAAAGCTTTGTCTATTTTGTGATAATGCCTTAAAATATTTAAATGATTTTTTTAATTAAAAATCCCAGCTTAATTTTTGAACTTATTAAGTCAATTATGATTTTAGCTCTTTAGTTTTAAAAGTAATTTAATTTTTTTGCGTTCAGCATTGTTACACTTTTGAATCAACATTATTAAACAATTCACTTTATTGATTTCATTATAAATGTTGTTACTAATTACCATTGATATTTGTAATAATGCATAATAGTTTTGATTATTATTAGCTTAATTTTTTTATTTATATAATTGTGGATATTGTTATGTTATTGTTGTTACTTATAAATTTATTTTTATTATTTAAATTACTGCAAAAAATAAATAATGTTGTTAGAAATAGTTTTTCAAAATCTCAAAAATAATTTCTCTAAAAAATAAATATAAAGAGAATAAATGCTGTAAATCCCAGAAGAAAAAAAATTATAGTTATGAAAGAAAGTACTGTTATTATAGAAATAAATATTTTGTATTCTTTTACTTATAGTTATGAAAGAAATTTAAATATGAAATTGTTGTATGTTAACATATAATTAGACCTTAAAGTATGTTCGCACTAGTAATAATTTATCACTAGTAATCTGTATCATAATTAAAACTCATAACCTCTTCATATCTTAAAAAATGTCTTATGAATTTTTTAAAATTTTTATTTCCAGATTGATGCACCTTTGTTTATCACCTGCTTCCAATGCTTAGTGACTATATTATTATGTATAATTTTAAGCTTTATGTCCGCAGCTGTTCCATCTATTGTCTCTTTTCCAGACATCACAATTTCGGCTGAAATATTAAAATCTGTAAGTAAGGAATTTTTTAATAAGTTAATATTGTTCAAAGAGTCTTAAATTAATTATTGTTGTCTAACAAAATTGCTGTTTTGTGTGAGGTTATGTAATGTTCCAAACATTTCTTGTACAAACCACTGTGTATTTTATTGTACAAGAAAGTCATTAATTTTATCATTGGGTCAGTTCCCTGACTTGGAGTTTTCAAAGTTCACTCCAAGATTCTCTAATAATACCAATCGAAAATTGACAAAGAAGTTTAATTGGTTTTAATCTTTTGAGAAGAGTCAGGATATTCCCTCCTATTCTTTTTGTTATAAACTAATAATTTTTCATTGAATTAAATTGTTTTGAAAACAAACTTTTCATTTCAGTAAAAAATATTTTTCAACTCTGCACCAACTAATTTTTTATTGTAACTTTTTCACCAAAATTACATTTAGAAAATTCATAGGACATATACATTTAGAAATTGAGAATTTGAATGTTGTATTTTAAACATAAAAATGAAACCAGATTCAATAAGAATGTTCCTAAGTTTGTTTGTTTTTTTAAAAAAAACATGAATTATATTTTATTATTTTTAACGAATAATGAAACATAATTCATGTTTGTAAAAATGGATTCATATGTATTTGCATTTAGTTTCAATAATGTAGAAGATTTTGTTAGATTAATTATTAATCTAGACCTGGAGTATTAGATAAAACATATCTACATAGACATTAGAGAATTGAATTAAATTTAAATATTAGATCAAATTAAAATGTAACAAAAGAATAATGAAAAGAAAAATGCAATATAGATCCTCTTGAGAAACCTTGCATGCATTCATGCAGGAATTTTTCTGTAAATAATTGTTTTACGAAACAAAAGTGTTGTTTATGTTGTTAAGTCCCACTTGGAGAAAAAATAAAATATAGACGATATAAAATCAAATTGTTCAGGTAAAAACTTCAATAAGAACTCACCAAAGAGCAAACATTATTTCAAGGCCTGATTTAGATTTAAAGAAGAAGAAAAAGTTTTTTTGAGGTTTTCATAATATCATATTATGTTTTTCTTTTTGGTTCTGAAATTTTCTCATTTCAGGTTCTTCCATTATCAATAGTCTTTGTAGCTATGATAACATTCAACAATCTGTGTCTTAAGTTTGTTGGAGTGCCATTTTATTATATTGGTCGGTCTTTGACTACTGTCTTTAATGTTGTGAGTAAAACTTCCTTCTTTAATTTACTTTTTGATAAATGTTATTAATGAATGTTTTTAATTTTTTTAAGTGATTTGATATTAAATTCTATTTTATTCTTTCAATTTTAAAGTTTTAAGTTGTTCATCTGCAATAATGTATAACATTCAGCAGAAATGTTATACATTATGCACAAAACCCCTGTGGCAAAAATTTTTCGGGCTTTCTGCGACATACCTCTTTAATACTAATATCTTTCTGCAAGATATTTAACAATAACAAATATAGAAACTTCAAAAAAATTTAAATTAATTGAATAAATAAATAAAAATTGGATCAAATAAAATAATTTTTTGAATTGAATATGTGATTTTTTATTCTAATATTATGGGCAATATTCTCGCATTTTATAATTCATCATCACATTAAAAAAATTAAATCGTGAAATCTGTAGTAGTAACTGCCGATAAAAAAAGATACACGACGAAAACACGCGAATCGGACTCTTCAAAGAGGCGTTACTGAATGTGTGTTTTCATTTCGAGATTCTGTTGTTGTGATAAATAATATCTGATTTTAAAAGCTATGTGAAAATCAGTAGTAATAACTGCATGAAAAATTGGAACGAAAATTTCCACAGAAAAAAAAAGCAAAAACAAATTTTTTTACTTCGTTAATCTTTATTTTTTATTATTCTCCAAAGATAATAAAAAAGTCCCAAACATTCTGGTTTAAAGAGTGATTTTTTTTTATCTTCATTCAGTCTGTTATTTTCCTTTCTTTTAAAGACATTATTTTTAAATATTTTTATATTCATGATAAGAAAAAACACTTATCAAAATGTAATAATTCACTATCGTATAACATTAAGAAAGAAGCCTAGATGTGGAACAACTTATAAGCAGAATTTTTATATTTGAAAACAATTATCAAATTTATAATAATTTGCCCGTGAAATCTGTAACCATTCACGAGATACATTTTCCAAATGGACTCATTTTCTTTAACATCCTGTGTCTTTAATTTTAAAGCAAATGGTACACAGATTTGAGAAAAGCCTAGACTAAGATGGGTTAGCTAGAGGCCGGGATAGCCTGGTCGGTAGGGCGCTGGGCAATTTTTGCGTTTGTCTCTACATATTAGTAACAATTTTTATTTAATTTTAAATTGCTTAAAATATGTATATATATATATATATTATGAACTTAAAATGCAGCTTATTTTTTAGTCAAAATTTTGCATATACATTATTAAAAAAATTAAGCTGTCTCAATATAAATAGTATAACTCTAAGCATTTGAATACTTTTTTATTGGCTGTTAAAAGTATTTAAAACTATCTTATCTTTTTCTCCTTCAGATTTTGACTTTTACTATACTTCATCAAAAAGTTTCTTTCAAGGCAATTTTCTGTTGTGCCATCATTATTTTTGGTTTTGTGCTGGGTGTAAATGAAGAAGGAATGGAAGGTTTGTAATGTCATGTATAATTAAGTTAAACAACGTGGAAAAAGCACAAAAATTCAAATATAGAAATTCTATAACAGGGTTCACCAAGAAGGGTCCAGTCCAAAAAAACCTGGCAGTTTTTTTTTATTTTTATAGTGAGTCATCTTGAAAAAGCCCATCTATATACCCACTAAGTGGGTATTTTCACATTTTTATAATTTAAAATTTATTTTCTTTGCAATTATAAAACCAAATTGTTCTTAGAAATTATCAACTTATTGTCTTTTAAATTTTACTTGGAAACTTTTTATAGTTAATTATATTTATTCAATATATTTCAGTAATTGGATTTTCGAAAACAAAATTTAAATTAACTAAATACATGAAAAAAAAAATTGTACATGATTTAAAAACATATTTCCAAATTATAATACATTACTTATCTATAAACAAATTATATGTAACACTTGCTGCATATTTCATTTGGATTGTAAACCTTTCAGGGTTTGTTAAAGTAAATCAATGGGCATTATATATATTTAATATTTCAAAAGGAATATATTGATATTGTAATTTTTTAGTTTTAAAAATATTGGTAAAGAGTATTTTAAAAGATTAGACCAAAATGTCCCCATTTTATATTAAGATGTCTATTATAGTCTGTACATGTTTATATCTACTGTAGCTCTTAAAAAAGAAAAATCCATGCTTAAAGACAAAGTTTTGAATGTTGAATCTATAATTTGGTTAAAAACCATAATTTAGAATATCAGTTGAAGGCCAAAACATTGCATCTAATTACTCAATCATTCTTTGCTGCTCTTATAACAACTGGACTAAAAAGAATATTTTTTAATTTTTGATTAGTTTAGTTCAAAGTATAAAATTTCTTAAGGAAGTAAAGTAGAAAACTTTGTTTATTTAAGCTAATGCTCACCCAATTTTTTCCCTTTTATGTGTATATAGATATCTGTGTAATTATTCATTCATAATCAAGAAATAGATTTTTTTTCTCACACATATACATGGATGTGTGAATATTATTTTCTGTTAATCCAGACTAAATGTATGTTTTCTTGATAGAGTGATTTTGTTGCTGCAAAAGTTTGTTAAATTTAAATCTATATTTTTCAGTTCAGTTAGTAAGCATACATGATAAAAATAAGATAATAATTTTGCAGTTTATACTCTTTAGTACAATTCCCTGTTTTAGTAACGCTTTCATTGTAGCAATCACTGCATAAAACCCCATTTGCTATTCCACAAACGCAACAGATACATCCATTGGAATGTCTGCGCTGAACTGTTTATTCCAATGTAGCAAAGGAAATTTAGTCAGATAATTTATAAAACATTTCAAAGATATTACTTAAACCATTATTTCCTTTGACCTGATCACACCTTAAATGAAGGAAGAGTAAACACAACCTCTAAATGAATCCTATTAAGTTGTAATTTATAGTCATTATTTTGTGTAATTTTTGTTTCAAAGGATACAATAAAATTATCAGTCATACTTTTCTTGTGTGAAAATTGAATTCATTATTTTTATTAAGTCCCCTTGTGTGATTATGTTTGAGTTAAAGCATGTGGTCTTTAAGCATATGTTATTTATGCTTGAATAATATGCCCAAAACCATTGTATTATTTTTAATACATTTGTGAACAATGAAGTATTTTAAAAGGTATTTTTACATATATAGGAAAAAAGTTGCATTGTTACCAATTTTTCTATTATTCACCAAAGCTTTAAATGAGTAAAATATTGCTTCAATAAAATTGCTGAATTATTTCTTTAGATCAGTTGATACTCGCAACATAACTTCGTGTTATGTCGCAAGAATAAAATAGTCTACAACTTAACTTCTTTTTGTAATTTTCTCAATTTACTTTACGGTAAATATTACATGTAATAACACTTAAACACTTAAAAACACTTATATTTGAATATTTAAAATTTTCTTTTTCAGTGACAGTATAAAAAATTTAATATTGTTTAAACTTGTGCTCATGAAGTTTAATTTAAATTTGTGTTGCTTATTTTATATTTTTTAAGATTTATTTTTAAAAAAATATTATGAAAAAAAGTGATTCTGAGTTTTAGCCTACAAGTCTTGAAAACTGAAAAATCAGGGAAATTTCAACCAGAACTTCATTGGACACTATAGTTTACTGTATTTTAATTTTGGAATAGCTTGTGATGTGAAATAATTCTCTCTTTAGGTTCATTGTCCATCAAAGGAGTGATCTACGGTATACTTGCCAGTCTCTTTGTGTCTCTCTACTCCATCTACATGAAAAAGATTCTCCCAGTTGTTGATGGTAATATATGGAGATTAACATTCTACAATAATGTTAATGCTGTGTTTCTATTCATACCACTGATGCTGCTATTTGGAGAAATATTTGTTATTATGGACTTTCACTTAATTTCCGATTCCTACTTTTGGGCTTTGATGCTCGTTGGTGGGACATTTGGTTTTGCTATTGGATATGTTACTGGACTTCAAATTAAAGTAAGTTTTCTTTAAAAAAAATTTGTAATAGCTGTGAAAAGCATAAATATTTATAAACACTTTAACTGAAGAATAAAACTCAAGCATTTTGAAAAGAACAGACCTTTTTTCATCAAGTAGTTAAAATGACACTAAGACAAACATGATAAAGGAAGACTGAAAGGAAATTTCAATACAGAAAAAATGAGTAGCAAATAAAAAACAAAGACACGTTAAAAATAGGAGAAAAACTTGAGATTAGAAGGGAAAGGAATATAAAGAGAAGGGATACAAGTCAGAACATGTGAAAATGGTTTTATTACAAACTTGCTCTCCCTTCTCATGTTTTCTTCTTCGACTTTTCCATTTCACTGTCTCTTTTTTTTCTCCTATTCTTTTATCCATAACATTATATGTTTGTTCATGTAAGCTGTATTTACAGTAATTTGTTTGGCAAGTGAAATGATCAAATTGCAACTCTGAACTCACCAATTATATTATGATCATGATGCAAGGAGGTAATAATTAGGCTCTGCCTTTTATTAGGCTTAAATTTTATCCTAATAAAATCAGAATTTAAATATGTGGCACTTAATTTGTTTTAGTACAACAAAAAAATATTTTCATCTCTAAATTTAATCGCTTTTAATTTCGATGCAACAATATGTTTAATTGGGAAACGTGGTTGGTTCAGTGAGTGCAGCGAGCAACAGCAGATCCCCCTTATAAAGTAAAATTTATTATGCATGAGCAACTAATAGTACTTTTCTTTCTTTCTTAGGTTACTTCTCCTTTGACGCACAATATCAGTGGAACAGCAAAAGCTTGTGCACAAACTGTTTTTGCAGTTGCCTGGTTTAATGAAACCAAGTCTCCAATTTGGTGGATAAGCAACTCCATTGTTCTCCTTGGCTCTGCAGCTTACACAAGGGTACGGCAACTGGAAATGATGGCTGATTATCAGAAGTTAAAACAGCACAGAGAATTAGAGAACATTAATGTAGAAAGTACAAAAGACAATGTTAAACTGTGATTTTAGCCTGCCAATTTAGCCATATTATGGGTTAGAAGTATAGCTGATATATTGTTGATATTTAAACAAAAATTCTAGTTTCCATTATGCACCTTTTTTAATTTAATACAAAATGCACAAATATATATGTATATTTACTTAATTTATTCAAATAAAATCTGAATTACTACAGCAAATTGTATATAAACTTTTTGTCAGCCCACCTTTAACTAGATGATTTGTGTTTGAAAAACAAAGGATTTGTAAATATATTTATATTTTTAAAAAATTATTTTTTTACTGAAATGATTACATTAATGTTTTTACTTGCTAAGTTTTATATTTAATTCTAAAAATAATGAATAAAACATTAAGAAAATGTTTTATATAAAACGTTATAAAAAAAAACTTAACAGTGACTAGTTTTTTATATGAGTTTAATGAAGATTATTAGTTATGTGATTCCTCATAGTAGGTTAACTTTATTTTGCTTTGTTGTATCTAAGAAGTACATAATTTAAAACTAAAGAAAGACTTAATAAATAATAATGATCTATCGATATTTTTGAATAATGGAGAAATTCGAAAATTGACCATTTTCTAGTATTAGGGTGACCCGGGGTAATTCACGATCACTCTGTTTCTGGGGTAAATAATGATCACTTAAGTTTTATTTAAAAAAATAATATTTTTTTTAAATTTGAGACATGGACAAGAATGCTTGTACACTTTACTAAAGTATAACTACATTTACTTAATAACAATTTTTTGCTTAATTTAACAAAATAAGTATCTTTTAAAATGCTTTCTGTATTTTCCATTTCAAAGATGGGTTTCAAAATGTGCACATTTCTGCAAAGATCTCCCTCCTTCTCTTAATAATAAATATTTTGAGTTACTTTCTTTNCTTGGCATTAACTAAAAGCTAAGCATTGTTTTTTGCAACCTATTTTTTTTCTGTCAACAATGGAAATTTTATTTGATACTCAAGGTAACAATAACATTCCTTATGATACTTTTCATATCTAAAGTTGTTCTGTGTTAAATGTGCAATAAGAAACAGCTAACATTTTAATAACTATGTATCTTTTTTTAAATCCTTTGATACTGTTTTTAATTTAACTATAAAGATAGTATCATTAAATAAACAAAATTCTGTATTAATAAAATACAGACATTTTTGTAAATACTGTTTATGCAGAGTATAAAAGTATATAATATGAATTTTCTTCATCACCTAGAAGCTCAAAATTGTTATGAAGTTTAATTATGTTTTTTATTATTCCAAAAGGGTACATTTTACTATGTACTTTCCTTACCAACTTCAAAATAATGTCCCACAAGTTTCTTCTCCTGAGATCATATTTTAGAGAGAAAGCTGGTTAAAAAGTGATTTAATTCCATGCTTTTTTTTATTACTTTGATTATTTTTTATGAAGATTGCTTTTTCTGATCAGGGTCTTATGTTTTGCTTTAAGGTATTCCTTTTTTATTTATTTCTCAACTTTAACTAATCTATAATTTATACTTTTTAAAAAATATAATTTTTTTTTAAATATAAAGAAATACAGTTTTATCATGAAATAACTTACCAGGGTAATTGTTTTCCATTTAAGCTACTTAAATTTTTGATTAATCTGTGTTCTAGATATATATTAGCTTCCGATTTTAAGAAATGTAGTATAATAACACACCGTGACAATTTTAACAATGCTATAGTACAAGTGAGATAATAAAAAAATGTACTATAGCATAACATCAGAAAGATTTATAGATCTAAAACAAAATTTTAAAAAAACAAAAGAAAAGCTATATTATAGAAATTAACAAATTTTTAGTTATTTTATTTTAGAAATTTATTATTATACAAATAATATGCTTAAATTATAATTATATATATTTTCATATTAAAATTTAATTTCATATTGAATATATTTATTGAAATTCTAAAAAAATTTGGCTGTGTTACTGATTTAATTTTGATAATATTATTCATAGATGTAGTGTGAGGGAGGACACACACTTTTTGATTTTAGAAAATTGCCTGTTTTAAATTTTATCCATACATTTATATATATACATGCATATAAAAATAACTATGCATATATACACATTAAACTTAAAATAAAGTTTTCTAAAAACAAAATGTGCACCCCCTACCTTAAGCTACACCTATAATAGTATATATTTTATTATTGCATTTGTAATTGCATACTACTAAATTGCATTCTACAATTACTTTCTGTGATGCATATACAGTTCTGCCATTTACTATGCTTTTTGCAAAATATTTTATAGAGTGGTAGGCATTTAAAAACCCAAGTTTTCCAAATTTTTGGTAATTTTGCCAACATTTTAAAAGCTTCACCACGAAAGAGCTGAAACAAAGTAGTGTTGCATACGAACTTTTAAATCATTTATATGTAGTGGTCTGGAAAATAAGTTTAAATGAATAAAAAATAATACCTTGAATAATACTTAGCTACCACTAGAACAAATTTTTACAAAAAGTGTAAAAATTTGGCAGCCCTGCATATAAACTGTCCTTTCTTTTATGCCAATTGTTTATATTTTGTTTATAAATTTTTATGGAGATTTAAATGAAATTATAAAAAGATTTGCTTGTTAATTACTTTTGATGTAATGAATGTTTATACATGCATTTATTCTACAAATGCACCAGGATTATTGAAAAATAATAATGAACATTAAAGCTGAAAAGTTAGAAGTAGACAATTTATTAACACCTTGTAGTTGAAGGACTCACCAGTCTATATGCTTTTGTCACAAAATTACTGACATACTGTACACGTGGGCAGACAATTATCTCAGATATAAGAAAAGAGGTTTGTATCACAGTAAAGATAGTTACAGTTTTCGTAGGACATTGAATGACTTGCAATAAAATGAAGTCAACTGGTTTGGAAAATATCTTAGATCTGTGAAACTTGCCAGCAAAAAAGAGGTAAATTTAGTGCAACTATCTCAAATAGAAAAAGTGAATTTATTAGGCATGAATGCATCCAATATAGTCTCTTGTGCAATGAAGTTTAAAATTTTTACCATTATTCAATTGCTCAAAATTATGTAGAAAAAACTGCAAAATTTTTGCCCCCACTTTTTTTATAAATATTATTAATAAAATCTTCTGTTTAAAAGCATTTGAAAAAGCCGAATGCTGTGGAATATTTGATCATATCTGTATTAAATCAAATGAATTAAAAGAATACAAAAATTTTGAAGTGATGAAGCTTCAGCATCACTGACTTTCCTGAATTCACATGAAAAATTTTGAATAGCGAACAATTCCCAAGTTCAAAGATTGTAGTACTGATCTATAGAGCAATACGCCAATATGGCTTTACAACAACTTGAATGTTGAGGAGACTGGTTAATGTCCAAAGTTAGCATGCATTGCAATTTTAACTTTATCTAAACACTTTTTTTTAAACTGATTTTCGAATCAATAAAAGAGGAACATTTGGGGATCTTGCAATTTTTATTGCAAAAAGTGTGGTTTGGCTCATTTTCTAAGAAATATTTTACACTATATTCTAGAAAAGTAAGCATATTCAAAATTTAGTAATGTTTTTTTTTTTAAATATTTACTGTATAAATCACAAAAATATTAACTTTGGTAATAATGACTAAAACGCAATTTTTAGATGTGATTGTTTTATATTTTCTTGAAAATAGTAACAGTATAGCCACAAAATAAAAAGCAGAAATTAAAACTTCTTTTTTCCTTTTACATATTTTTGAAAGAAAAATTAAATTTGATTTGTAACAACTTATTCTTTACAACTAGAAGATGTAGCTTTTCTCTACTTGATTCTTTTATCATAAATCTAACTAGCGTTCCTAAAAAGAAAAAAAATAGTAATCAAAACACTATAAAATTACAACAATATTTAAATAAGCTATAACAAAATTCTAAAATAATAATTTAATAAAGACCCAATAGAGCATTACTAAACCAAGTCATCAGGATATACATATGCCACAGAATGTACTGAAAACAGTGTCTCATTCACTGTAAGCTAAAAAAAAAATTATCCCCTTGAAAAACTTTTTTTCTAATGATAAGTACTAGTTTTAAGTACTAACAGTCAATCTTAATAAAAGGGTTGAACTCAAAGATGTTAAAATTATCATAAATGCCAACTATCAATTAAGTTACAAAATTGTACACTTTCCTTTGTTTCCTCCCCCCCCCCTCAAAATATTTAGATTCTTGACCTGCAAAATAAGGAAGGTAGCTCCACTCTGGAAAATATAGCCCCAAATATTTAGTCAGGAAAGTAATTAAAAGTTTGGCCTTTTTTTAAAAACCTTTTTGAGTAAATACCATCTTTAGAACTATTAAAATTACTAATATTTTTCAACTATTATTAAATGAATAATTATCATATAAAATTATTTTTTTGATAAATTTAATTTTCGAAAAATGCATTCTACAATGGTGAGCAAAATGTTTTTGATACACTAAAATAAACAGAAAAACGTATTATGAAGCACATAAAAAGAGAAATTATCATTAAGAAGTCCAAACATTCAACACCTCTCCCCATTGAACTATATTGGAACAATATTTACCTCATTATAAATAAGTCCCTCATTATAAATCCATAGAAAGCACTTTTTTTTTGTTGCCCAATTTAGTACTAACTAAAAATATCGCCTGTACAAGTTGAGGAGCAGCATATTTAAGATATAATGCATATTACGATATAATGCCACATAAGTTAATAAATACAAAAAGCAATTTGATTGTATTTTCGTGTAAAAGTATACTATTAATTCATTAAACCGATTATTTTTAATTAACCTTTTTTGCAAAGTAACATATTTTAAAGCAAGAAATAATTTTAGACTTTTTTCTCCCCTTACACTTATTGCCCTAAACCTTTCAATTTCATTTATCCCTAACGATGCACAATACTAAGATTTTACTGTATAATTGTCATTTCTGTTTAAAAATTTGAACAGAAAAATTAAAATTCATGTCAACTATACTATTACTATTTTTAATTTTTGTAAAAAACTATGTAAAAGTAGTTTTTTCAAAAAAATGTATTCTTTAGTAAATAATTAGTTTTAACAAGCCAATTCACAGCTTTATCACCTATTAATCAACAAACATTTCACGAGATGAAATTAAAAATAAAAATTACCACTTTAACAAATATTGTACAATTGGGAATTATGTAATATTATTTTACTAGACTAGTCATTGTCTATGACTCAACAAGTGTTTAGGTCATAAATAAAAATTCATAAAACAGTTTATTCACAGAAAAGTCGTTTGAGCATCACTAGATAAATAATCAGTTTTTTAAATTGTTATATGCTTCAAAATTTTTTGGTGTAATTATCTTTTAAAATAATAACTTAAATAAACAAAATATTAAACAAGTTATTAGCCTATATAGGGTATCTGTTACATTTTAAATTTTCAAATCCATGACTTTCCATTTCACGACTTACCGAAGCTACTATTTTCTCTGACAAAACACAAACAATAAATTTAAAAAAAGCATTATAATAGCATTAATTGAAACTATAGGTATAACTAAAACTGTTATACTCTGCATCTTCATATTTATTCATTATAAACTTAAAAAACAGAGTAGAGAAAGAGTTGAAGCAACAAAATAGCTAAAAAAAATACAAAAGCAAATATCTAAATACAGTCAGATATATACAGTTATTTAAACCTGTTTTATCTCTTCTTAAAAGCCTAAACTAGAATTTTAAATTGATTAAATAAATAGATAAATTCTGAAATCACAGAAGTTTAAAAGATAATTCGCTCTAGAAATAATGTTCTTTCTTTCATTTTTTGAAAGAACACCATAATTTTTAAAGAACAGGATAAAAACATTTTATATTTTAATAAAATATGACTATGAGAGGGGGATTTTGTTACAAATTTAGATATTCGGAACACTGTAAAATCGAGAGGGGGGATAAATTCCATCTTAAAAATGAGATTTTTCGGCAACCTAAATCCATGGATTTTTTTTTTAAATAGTTAATATCATGACAAATTTTGTTCAATGCCGAAATCTATAACTTTCCGTGATTTTTCATGACTTTCCAGGTGCACAAATACCCTGTCTATATAATTATGTATATATTTAAGCTGACTACATGGAAACACATTTAAATCGAAAACTTATATTCACAAACATTCTAGCCAAAGGATAATTTAGCTCTCGCAATTGTCATTCATACAACTATGAATTGAGCAACAAAAGTAAATTTAAAATAATTGAGGTGCTTTACATGAAAAATATGCAATCAAAAATTACCTGGTTGGAAACATTGGCTTTTCAAAATGGTTTGGTAGCCATAATTCAGGTTTATCATATCCCATTTCTTCAGGAGTTAAAATTCCTAATTCATCTAGAGTTGGGCGAATTTCTTGCAAGATGTAAGGATAAATTTCTTTCAACCGGTAACCACATTTATCCTATTAGAACAATATAGTATTACATTACATGACTATAGAACAGGTTTATCATATCCTATTAGAACAATATAGTATTACATTACATACTCCAAAACATCCAAACATTTGCCAAAAAATGCTTAAAAATAAGATTACTCAATAGCAAAACTTGAAATCGATGTGTTGTAATATTGTATTAAAATACCGAAATTTTAGAAACAAACTCCTAAATAATGAAGTAAAGAAATCCCTTACACCTATAATTCATACAAATTCAGTAAACTTTTATAAGCCCTCATTGATATATGAATTCAGCTAAATTAAAAACAAGCTAACAAATTTTAAAAAATAATCATTTTACAAATATATAACATAATGAAGATTTTTTTTTAGCTTTTTCTATGTGAAATTAATGAGGAAAAATGTCTATGAAGAAATTCCATTTTGTCTCTTCTAAACACAGAGACAATCACCAAAAGAATTTTTTAATCATAGAGATATATAAAAATACTTATTAATCAGTTTTTAATAAAAACTTTTAGAATTGGCACATGTGTAAAAAAAAAATTTTATGATAGAAAGAGCAATTTTTCTTATCCATTAATGCCATAATTTGAAAAATAATACTAATTTAATTTTTTTGAGGCCTAGTGTGATGTCTACCTAAAAGAAAAAGGAAGTTATCAAAGAATAATTCAAATGAGCATTAACAAACTAAAATGATTTCATTCAATTCCTGATATTAACTAACACTACTTTGAAAACTTACAAGAATATTTAATTTATACATAAATACAAAAATAATTTAATAATTACCTCAATTTCATTAGATTCCATATAAGGATTTAAGATAATTGAAAAATGCAGAACAGTTATGGAAAAATTGTTATATAACCTGAAATATCACAGCTATAACATTCGTATAAAAAAAATAATAATAAACAAACTGTAAATGTTACAGTGTAACTTTAATATCTTAAATTATAAACTAAAACTTTATACAATAAAAAAAAATCGCATTTAATAACATTAATCCTGCTGTCGGGACTGAGCCAAGTTTGATAAAAACATAGAGATAATTTATCTACTACATATCTTTGAATATTACACAAATATGTGATGCATATGCTCTTATTTTTTTAAATGTTTAAAAAAATTTTAATGCAAAAAACTTTAGTGACTATACAAAACCAGTGAAATTTATTTTCTTGCTTTGGCAACAGAGAATTGAAAGAAATAAGATGGGCAGAAATGGAAAGTTAAAAGTAAATTGTTCATCTTTTTTTTTTTCAATGTTTAATAATTTACGAAAGGTTATGCCATAATTCAGATGTATATTTCAGTTTTAAGAATGCTTAATAATTTATACAAGAGAAGAATAGACATCATTTTACTATTTATGTTGAATGATGTTACTCATTAATTCAACCTAAATGTTTGTTTTAACTGTAGAATACTAGTCATGTTTACTGATCTTGTAAAATGTTATCTTTTTCCATTTATTTACCTTTTCTTTGGTTTTGAAGAGTTTGTGGCAAAATAAAGGACTTAAAATTGTTATGTCTCTAAATTCTGAAATTTGGAATATAGGGAACTTTTATGAAATATTTGTTTCAAATGAAATTTCCAAATATTGAAATGTATCTATATCCAATCATAATGCATGCAAGTTAAAATTGTCGCAAAATGTAGTATATATGCTTCTTATTTTTATAACTTTCTTTTAAAAAGAGTATCAAAATTCATTCAAAGTAAATAAAAAAGTTATAAAAATACTCATACAGTGTTTTCACTACAGCGCGAGAACCTCGCATATTTTTTAATATTCTCGCATGAAAAAATGATTACCGCGAGAAATTCGCGCATTCTATAAACCAATTTCAAAATTCGCAAATTTCTCGCATTTTTAAAAAAATTTCTCATTTGCACCATTTTGAATAAAATCCGTTTCACTTTTCTTGCTGGATCTTTTATTATTTTCAACATCTGCCCCATTATCTAGCTTCCCTATTTACCAGTATTGTTCAGAACCTTTAAGAACAACAGAACACCATCCTACCGAACCACGGAACCTCTTTCAGAACGCATTTCGCTGCAACCACTTGTTTACCGTAGGTAAGGTTTCTTCATGTAAGACGTTCAAATTTTTTGCTCGTTAATGTAAGATGGATAAATACCTCGTAAAGCCAATATCTTCTACTCCGAAACGGATAAATGAAAATGAAACAAATGTGGGTAGAAACGATCAAAACGAAACAAATACGCAATTGAGCAACCTAATGAGAATAGCTGATGAAAAAGTAGATGTAGAACATTTTCCATATGATGATGCAGCAAAAATATTCAATGCTTTAAAAATTAGAAGATGTTCAAAATGCATTATAATTAAAGAAATGATTTTTCTCTTCAAGTCTCTTTGTGTTTTTTTTTTAATTTTTGAAATCTCACTTAACTTTTTGAAATCTCACCCTGTTTTTGAGAAAGGGTGAGAAATTCTCACCCATTTTTTTTCTGAGATGAAAACACTGTCATACGATATTTTTATACTTTCTTTTTAAATAAGCATCAAAATTCATTCGACTAAAACAAAGCACTACCCAATGAACAAGCAAAATGAGCTTTATTGCAAAGCCTGAAAAGGAAAGCACAGCGATAAATAGCTGATGCCTCCTAGCAATATAGTTATTTTACTACTGTGTAATCAAATTTCAATAATGCCACTGTAACACAATTCAGCCAAATCAATCAATGTAATTAAAAGCATTTAACACCATAAACTAAAATTAAAAAATTAAAAAATCACACATAATTTTTGAATTCTGTACTCTACAAAAATTTAGTTTAATAATTCACTTTCAGTTTTCACTTCTATATAAGGTAAATAACACATTTAAAAGCAGAAAATTTAAAAAATAAAATAAAATACTGCCATGTAACAATCAAAAGTTAGACGTTTAAGATAATTTTACTTTTATAAATAGAAATTCTTTGAATTTAATCTACATCTACTATTCTATTAAACTTTTTTAAATCACAAATGTTAGAATATCTACAGATAAAATTTATTTTTCTTACCTTAACGCCTTCTAAAAAGCGTACAGCAAGAGCATAGTCATTGAGCCTTCTGCAGGCCTTGAGAGCGGCAATGATTATTTTGGGTTCAGGCACTAAATCCATACCTTGAAGATCATTCATGGCTTTACGTATTTCCCATTCATCGATTTCTGGTCTGTTAAAATAGGCTTCATATCGAGCATCAAATTCAGCATCTGTCTCTTCTTTCTTTGATGAATATTGTACCCTTGGGGTATACCTTAGTAAAAGAGAGGCTGGGACCCCTATAAAAGTAAATTAGAGGGTATTTGGATCAATTTCTTCATAAAACCTAAACCACATTATCTTCTGAAGAAATATGATACAGTGAAACCTGTGTAAACACTTGCTCTTTATACTGATCAACTTAGTCAGTAGGCTTACTAACACGAGAGTATGAACATTATATTATAATCAGAGGTCTATCCAAGCCAAATTTACTAGCATTTAGAGGTACCTTCACAAATTCAACTGTAGGAAAAATTTCACAAAATACTTTTTTTTAAACTTTTATTTTGTGTCTCGTTAGATATGATAAATCTATATTTTTATCATAATTTTGTGTTAATTTTTTCATATAATTTTTAATTTTCACAAATTATGTCTACATTTTCCCAAAATAGATACTCTTTAGAAAAACCTAGACAGATCACTGATAATATATACCATGTTATTTTTGTTATTCTTTTAGTTTTTAGATGTCACCAATCGAAGTAAAAATAAATAACTTTAAATTTTTTGACGAGGCCAGTATTTTAAACTTTATTTGGTAAATACTGCAAATACAGTTTAACTAGTTACAGAAAGAAATAGAATTTTTTACATAAATTCCCTATTGCAGAATCGCAGCAACAAGGCGACATTGTCGCAGAACATCACTGAGTTCTTGCAGAAAGATTTTTCACTTGAAAAGAAAGAAAAAAATTCTTTATTTATTTGTTTGTTTTGTACAGAAATTTACACGTAATATTTGTATCATGCATTTAGATAATCACTTTTTGACGCACTCATTATACGCCGATAGTATCTAAAATCGATGTAATGTTACGATTGTATTTTCAGCAATTATAGTTGATTTTCATATGGATTTTAAATATCCCGATATATTTAAAATTTGACACATTTAAGGCAATAATTCTATCGTATTTTTGGCAGTTGACTTCTCCATAGTTTTTAAATCCAATATTTTTTATACAATATTATTTATTACAACAGCCTAATCTTGCAACGAAACACGCATTTGAGGTGTCCGATTCGCATGATTTTGTCGAGATTCAGCAAGTACTACTACGGATTTTATCATTTTTAATTATTTTTTTATAGTGATGATTATTTACAAAATACGTGTTCCCCACTCTGAACAAAATGCGAGAATATCAACTGTAATACATAATATTCTAATAAAAATTACATGTTCAATTTTTTAAAAAATTGTTTAATTTTTTTTTTAAAACACAGAGCTTTTGTTATTTGAAATTAGTAGCATATATGTTGGTTATTATTAAAAGTATCTTGCAGAAATATATTAGTGCTATAGAGCAACTCAATTAGAGCTAGACAGCAATTAGTGGGCAATTTCCGGGCAGTGGCCAGCGAGAATCTAAAAAAAGCATCATCCCTATGATACTAACTGGACTATGATATAACATATAGCCACCCAACATCTACATGTTTTGCAAGCTCAAAATCTATTTGGTATACCTTGGCGACAGATTATGATGCGGAAATATCTCCTGCTGAAGACCAAGAATTAGCCTTACAAAAACATTAAAAATATTTGATGCATTTTAATTCAGTTATAAAGTCTATAAATTTTACGTTCGCAATCGTGGAATTGCCCATATGTATATTTTGTTCTTTGTGCATGATATATCTTTAATTTCTTAAAATATCAATAACATATATACAATTAAAAAAATAGTCCCATCATACTAACTTCAATATTTTAAAACTACTTCTGCTCTACTTATTTGTTACGAAAGCCTTTAATAGTTTGTTTTAAGGTCAAGTAAGTAGTATAAGAAACAGCTGAATGAGTAATACATGGTGGGGAAAAAACATAGATCAAAATAGTTCACAGCCAATAATTTCAAATGTATGGAATAAAATCTAAACCTATAAATTCAAAGCTACCGATGTGGAAATTATGAAATATTCTCCAATTCTTCACAATTCCAAAACATTTTTGCAATGTGCATAGAAAACTGAGATTTCTGATAGCGAATTCAGTTTTATATTCGAATTAAAAACTTACCTCTAGAAGTACTAGGTTTTGTAAGCAATTTAGGCCCAATGTTTTGAACTAAGCAAGAAGTAACTCGGCGTAACATTTTCTAATATAGAAGATCGAGTCTCGAAGATTTTTGCCCTTCTAAAACTCCTTGGTCTTGATGTATCCTTAAACAAACTATCGATTATTATATATCGATATTTAAAATGAACTCCAACATTTAAAACATAAATTAACGATAAAAAAAATAATAATTTATAAAGCGTACAATGAAAAATATTAATCACTTTAACTTTTACTCAAGCATCTACTCGGACATAAAATGGTCACGCTCCAATATTCGCACTGAAACTTTTAGAACACCAGAAATTATGGTTACTATGGATGGTGTTTTCCTTCCTCGTTGGTGTTTTCTATATAAATGCAAACAATAACAATCTCGAGCTCCAAGTTAATTCTGCGAGCCGGTATTTTCAAACGGATAATTTTGTTTTCAATAAAAGAAATAAATTAGATAATTTCTGATCTCAAATCTGCCGTATTTCATAAGATATTAATGTTATTAAGTAATTCCGGTTAGTTTGAAGTGGAAATTTGTTTCAGTTATTTATAGATATATTGTTAAAAAAGGTGACATGGTTGCTAGATTCTGAATAACTCCATTTTTTGGCAGTCCTGACTTGGCCCCATTCCGTTTGTTTATTACTGTTTGTTTTTGTTACAAGCTGTGCACAGGGCCTGATCATCGCTTAGGCCCAATAGGCATGGGCCTAGGGCCCACAATTTCTGAGGGCCTCGAAAAGTTGTAAAAAGTCTAATGAAAGGTGGGCTAGCTTTGTGTTGGTTTAAGTATTAAATAAAAAACAGTGTTACAACAAACAGTATTAAATAAAAATAAGTGACTTTTAGCAAGAATCACTGCTTTCAATCGTTTGTGGCCACCAAACTATTTTTATTTTGATATAACATTGTTTTGTTGTTTTATAATTTGCTTTAATTTATGGATACGTAAACTTTATCTTAGAAAAATAATCTTCAATTGTCTAGTTTCAAAATTTCTTAGAATGTTTCTCTTGAATCATGCAGTTCAATAGATTCTTTTTCATTGTTAGGACTACTCTTCAGTAATTTAATTTCAAAATATCTTGCAAGGGTCCCGGAAAATTTGGTGGGCCTTGAGCCTGCATTTGTCTTGATCGGTTCCTGGCTGTGTAGTTAGACTGTACGTCTGCTTATCCGTCCCACAGTTGACTGATTGTTAAGACACCGTTCCCAGCAGATCACCGAAGTCAAGCATCACTGGCTGCAGTCAGTGTGCGGATGGGTGAGCACTTGGATCAGTCTGCGTAGGGTTCTATCGCAAAGTGCTCGACTTCGCGTGCAGGTCGTCGGACTACCGAAGCGGGTGTGCCATCCCCTCTGCAGAGGATCAAAATTGTGATGGCATGTCTTCGGATCATCCTCATGGTTGTTTCCCAGACAGTCGCCAATAGCCCATTGTGCAGCTCTAGTGCGACGTAAATGAATTACAACAACAAAATCTAAGAATATCCTCCGACTTTAATTATTTAAGATCAGGAATCATTTTTAAAACAAAAATAATAAAATTTAAGTTTGAAAATTGAAACATATTTGATTAAGAGTGATAAAATTAAATTAATAAATGTCAAACACACTTACCGAATTTAGCATACACTTTCAATTGTCAACACGCGTGCGGCACGAACGGAACTCTGGGAAGCGAGCTAGTTAATATGAAGTGTACTTTAAACAACCTCAAAATAAGCTTAGGTATAAATAAAATGACTTCAAACACCTCAATTAATATCTGACTCTCTTCAGTTGAAATAAGGTAATTTTTTTATACCTCAAAAATACCTCTTTTGTTATAAATGTCAGAAAAACATCCTGTATACCTTAAAAATCATTTCCTCAATCTAGTTAATATGAAGTCAACTTTAAACAACCTTATATTAAGCTTAGGTACAATAAAATGACTTTATACATCTTAATAAATATCTGACTCTCTTTAGTTAAAATAAGGTGACATTTTTATACCTCATAAATAGCTCTTTTGTTACAAGTGGCAGAAAAACAACTTGGTATACCTTAGAAATCACCTTATCAGTCTGGTTGATATGGAGTTAATTTAAAACAGCCTCAAAATGAACTTAGGTATAAATAAAATGACTTCATAGACCTCAATAAATAACTTACTCAAGTTAGTTGAAATGAGGTAAATTTTTTATACCCCATAAATACATTTTTTTAATAAGTGTCAGAATAATAAGCTGCATACTTTGAAAATCACCTCATCAGCTTAGTTGATTTGAAGTGAATTTTGAACAATCTCAAAAGGAGCCGAAGTGCATGTAAAAGAACATCGTGCACCACAATTACAACCTTTGTGAAGTAAAATTTTTATGGTTGTTTTCTCAGCATCCTCGAATATACGTCATATATCCCTCAAAACAACCTCGATAACTCAAAAATACCCCAAACTACCACAAATATACCTTAAATTTTTCGAATATACGTCATATATACCTCAAAACAACCTCGATAACTCAAAAATACCTCAAACTACCACAAATATACCTTAAATTTTCGTAAGGGAATAGAGAGATTTTTTTTTAATCGTCGTTTCGTTGTCGTTTTTTTAATAGTCGTGTGCTATATCCAAGTTTTGTCTACCATAGTTATCTATAAGCCGTCGATACTAAAGCCATTGAGGATTATCCACAAATAAGTTATAAGAAAACGTCTAGTAGACGTTGATCCACGATGTCTAGTGGATCACGTGGACGAATTCTGGGCATCTAATCGGATCTTACGTTCTAGGTCACAATCTGAATGGCTCTAGGATGTGACCTCAAATATGCTAATCGATAAGTGCATTGCAGACGATATTTTAAATTTCGAAATCACTTCGAAAAAACATATTAAAAAAAATAAATTTCGAAAAACGTACTTTCTCTGAATAAACATACCTTTTTTTCGACGGATTTGGATTTCTGACCCCCAATATATGGGGGGGTAGCCACAATCTGTGAAATATGGTCCCCATAGTTTGGTCAGGAGAGCGCTCCAATGCTTGAACCCCTTAATGTTAATTTTACTTTTGCGTACTTCACTATATCTTGAGAAATTTTTAAGCGAATTAAAAAAAATTTGCACACAAATGGGTATAATATGAAAAAAGCACAACTACTTCCACTTACTAGGAATAACATTTACCTTTTAGTTTAATTATTAAACGGAGTTTTAAATATGCTTACTAAATTCATAAACTTCGATAAAACAACAATATAAATTATTTCCAAAGGAACTAGACTAATACAATTCCAACCTGGCGAGTACCGACTTATAACAAGACTTTTCGTTTGATGCTTTTACTTGTTGCTAGAAATCAGGTTCGCAGAAAATGCTGTTTACTAGTTAAATTTAGTAGGAATAACACAATCTGTAACGTAGGCTGTAGTATACCCAATTATAAAATTCGTCCATCTAAAGATAATTCTATGCGAAAAATTACTTTCAGTAAATATTTATTATTTTTTATTATTTTATTTAATAATAATTGAAAAATTCTTGAATTGTAAGGTATTAAATTTTTTAATCATTTTAAAGGAAATAATTTTGCATGATAAAACACAAAATTTGAGCAAAATCGGTAGAAATACTCCTGAGAAATTGAATCTCAAAAATTTATCGGGATATTTGACCGATTTTGCTCAAATTTTGTATTTTACCATGCAAAATTATATTCTTTAAAATGATGTAAAAAATTGTATACTTTACAATTCAAAATTTAAAAAATTATTATTAAATAGAATAATAAATATTTGGTTAAAGTTATTTTTGCATGGTCTTGAATCTGTAGATAAATGAATTTTATAATTGTGTGCAAAAAATTTTATATTCACTTAAAAATTTCTCGAGATATAGTGAATTACGCAAAAAGGTAAAATTAATATTAAGGGACCCAAATTTTGGAGTCCTATCTTGACTAAACTATTGGGACCATATTTTCCAAATCGCAGCCAACCCCTATATTTTGGGGGTCAATGAGTGGAATCCGTCAAAAAAGGTTATGTTTATTCAGAGAAAGTACGCTTTTGTGTCTGATTTCTTATTTTAAAATATTGTCTGCACTTATTAATTAACATATTTGAGGTCATCCCTTCAAACCATTAAGATTGAGTACTAGAACGTGAAGATTCATTAGATCAAAAGTTATTCTGGGTAATCGTTTTTTCTTCTTCTTTTTTTTTCATTTTTGTTTTTGCACACTGTACACAACTTATTTAATACGCAGTTTTAAAATTAATTTTAAGTAAAAATAGAGCATTTTAATGTTGTCCCAGGACTTTTTCCAGTCTGCTATTTCTATTCTGTTACCATAATTGCTTTAAATTTGTTGAGTTTTCTAAAATCGGCCCCGTAGCCGTTGGATGGCCTATTTTTAGATTGACCAACCAGGTAGATTGGTAGCACTTAAAATTTATCATTATATTTGCTGTATTCCATAAAAATAAAGCTTTGTCAAAATAAGCAAATTTTCTTCTGCGAGTACTTACAAGTACTCAGATACGCCTTCCCGGTATGGTGATCTTTTTAAATGCAAATCAAAAGATTACTCATTTTTGAGCATATAACCTGGACCCCCTGGTTTATACTCCTAGACCCCCTGGAATTATTGGTAAAGACTTAAAAGTTGGATAAAAATCATTGATTATCTTTAGAAGCTAAATGTGCATTTTTTACCAAGAAGCTATAAGTTGCTCTGAATGTGACTTCAAAATCTTCGATTTTGAGTTTATTGATATTAATATTTCAACACGGCTACGGCCTTTTTCTTAACTGACTTCGTTATATCCAGACACTTCAACCGTAAGATGAACTGCATCTCTCTGCACCAATGAAGCCTATTATGGAGGAGGCGAGGAAGAGTTCTAAGTATATTACTCATAATCATAATTATTTAATATCCTACTCTAAATTAGTTTTTTACTGCACATAAATTTGTATAGTGTTCATCTGCATCATGTTAGATATGCAATTGCGAACACCCCTTTCAATTTCCTTAAAATTAGATGAAAGAGCAGATACCCCATAGGGATAGGTATTCCGTATTTAAGTTTACATACAGCGTTAATTGGATTACGAAAAACATATGTTTAGAAGATTTCCCATCAAGTTAAAGATTAACGATATTCAGTATTATTTGGCATGACGCTAACGCTCGAGGCTTACTCCTCGTGGACAAAAATTAAAATAATCA